TTAGGGAGACATATTTTGTTTACGCATTTCCTGATTTACATGTACATACTGCCAAAATTTGAACTCTGAACATTACAATAATCCTTTGTAAGCGGGGGTATCATATTTTGTCAGCTCAGTGCTTACCGTACTTAAAGTTTTCTTTTGAAAAGACGTACCAGAAAGGAAGATATGAATCAAACGGAACTGTAAAAGCAATCCACTAAAGTTTTTGCTTGAAAACTCATGGTTTGTTCTGTCTATGAAAGCTTTTTCGATATTTTTCCTTTTGAGAAAGAAAAGTCATTTTGCTTTAAAGAATTAATGTCTAATATTAATTTTACAAATTGCAATGGAGACAGAAGAAATAGTACTATATACGCTATCTTTAAGCAACCTCAGAAACAACTAGTAAACTAATTGTTCAGAGAACAATAAGACGTCTTTCCACCTTTTAAAGTGTTTCAATATCATTTGGGCTGAAAAAAGTAGGAAAAAAGCAAGAAAATAAATAAAACAGCAAAATTCTCATTTCTCTACTAGGAATTTAGATCGGGCTCGCAGTTGGTATAATTTTACCCTTAACAGACTTCCTAGATTGTTTGTAGTCGACTCGACTCGGGGATAAGCACCAATTCATTGATCACGCAAAGAGAGCACAGAAAAAACAGTGTAACACGCTCCTAGGTGTATATATGAGCTTGAATGAAATTGTTTTCGAGTTAAGATGTAAGGGGTAAGGTCTGATTAAAATTATGATAAACCTATTAGTATGAATAACTTGCATTTGATCTGCGCATCAAGACGGAAGCGTAAGTGAAAACGTTGTGAAATGTCCCATGTGTACCTGCATCATATGTGCATTATACATGTATTAAAGAGATGTTTGAAAATATCCGATTTGAGTTGTTTTATGTTTGAAATGGATGGCGATAAATTATTTAAAAGCATGTGAGAAACATAGCTAGAGATGCAAGGCAGTTTGTAATCATGGAAAAGGAATACAGAGAATCGGGTTCGGGTTTTAACATTCCTGACCGAAATAGGCATGAAATTCAATGTAAGTAGCATAAATAAAATTCAAAACATGAAATTCTAGATGGGAAACACAGGGAAGAAACGTGTATTTCTTTTTACTATGCTGAAAGTCGCTATTTCTTGGGATTGTGTTATTCTAGGGGAAAAAAAAATCAAATTTCAGATGAAATCAAGATTCATTCCATTAATATTAAATCCAAATAAAATTGAAATAAATTCCATACACTAAAGAACGCAAGAATACTTGGCATTAAAATGTCGTAATAGAGCAGGAGAATCGAATGATATTAACAACAGTTGCAGAAATAGCCAACACGGGCTTTAATTAATTTTTATGCTCAGCAATTAACTAAATTTCAGACAGAGAAAAATGCAGATTTTGCCGATTTTCACTAGAATTTCATTATATTTTAGAGACTCACCTTATAACGCTCAGGACACTTTCTTTAAGGTCTCTTCTTGCTTTTACTCCGAATCTAATGTCGATATATCATGACTTTTGACTTGTAGACATTTTCTCTATGCTGCTTCTGTTTTTTTTTTTTAAGGAAAGGGGGGGTAGAGATGTAAGCATTTGTTAGAGTTAGAGTTGCAAATACCTCAACGACCTTAAGCTTGATTGAGACCTTCGGGTCAATAGGGGGTCAAAGGTCAAGGTCATTGATCAAGGTCAAAGGTCAAGGTCATAAAAAAAACCTTATGAACTTGAGTTTAAAACTTGAAGCTGAATCTAGGTAAAGGTAATGAATATATCATTTAACTTTTGGGTCAAGGTCAAAGGTCAAGGTCAGATATGAAAGTCAAATGTCAAGGTCAAATTCCTTCCAAAGCATACATAAGCAATTTTTAACATTTTCCCAATGACCTTGACCTTTGACCTTGACCTAATCTTCAAGGTCAAAGGTCAAAATATCTCATGCATTGTCCAAATGTCTTTACGGCTTGTCGTTAAAAAGTTTTTAGTTCTTCGAAAACATCAGAATCTGTAAGGGGCAATAACTACTTAAAATGGTTGACGAATCCTTTTGCAATGAATAGATTCAAGAGTGTACTAAATTAGTCGTAGACATTGCTGAAGGTTTTGTATCTCTGCGGTTTACGGTTTCGGAGGAGTAGCGATAACAAGGGTTTACACTGGAAGGGGCACTAACTTTTAGAGGGGTCAATCTTAGGGGGCAAGCATGAAATCCCTGAAATGGTTTTAAGAGTACATATTGAAGATGCAAAGATATTAAAAATTTGGTGAAGAACAAAAGAGCTATAAAAAATGCTTAATTTTACATATTTTGAATGACCTTGACCTTTGACCTTGACCTAAATTTCAAGGTCAAAGGTCAATGAATCTTTTGCAGTTGGCCCCATGTCTCTACGCCTTGTCGTTTGAGAAAAGATCTTGATAATCGTAAACATCGCAAACATTCAGGGGCAGTAATTCATTGTAGGGGTTTACGAATCCTTTCGCAATGAATAGATTCAAGAGTCTCCTAAAGTAGTCGTAGACATTGTTGAAGGTTTTGTATCTCTACGGTTTACGGTTTGGGAGGAGTAGCGATAACAAGGTTTTATTGCGAAAGGGGTCGTAACTCCGAAAGGGGTCATAGGTCGTGCACCTTGGGTAGTTTTTCGAAATAACTTTTGTTTTCCAGTGTCATGAGGCAAAAAGTTTTTCGATAAGTCTTTCGGTTCAAAAGTCGATAACGGAAAAATAATAATAATAAGAAACATAAGCATTTCAAGAAGTCTTTCCACAGAAAGGTGGAAAGACTTAACAAGGGATTTCTAACATTCTTTTTAGGACTTCTGATGAAATCACAAAGACTACTGAGTATATAGGCAATCAGCCTTTTTTCAAAATTCAAAGATATAAAGTTTCGAGTCAGCAGATGAAAAAAGCCACGCACGACATGCATGTAATGTGAATATTGCCATGTGATCAACATTTTACACTGTTCTAATTATTATCTACACACCTGAAATATCTTTTTAAGGATCGGCTATCATTACTTTTACAGTGTAGCTCATTTACAAAGTTTCTACTTTTATAGTTTTCAAATGAAACATATTCTTGAAAAGTTAACAATAAAGATATACATGACGTGTACATGAAAACCAATGAATAGAAATTACAGCTCTAGCAAATGTATTACGTCATTAATTAAACTCTTCACCCCTTTTCAAAGAATTGCAACTTTAACACCAATACGTGTTTAAAATCTTTCAAAACCCAAAATCTCTACAATGTAACCTGCTTAATTTATGAGTAAACGCTTATTCAAAAGTTCACCAAATTCATTGTAAATTTTCAAATCATAGACAACATTCATTGATAAAAAATGGCCTAGATTTAGACAGAGAAATGAATAATATTCAAACTTTAAATATTATGTTGTCTGTCCTTTGGATGAAACCGGAATACCGAATTTCAGTGTGAGAGCAAGAATGACCGCTAGAAGAATTTTTACTAATAAAGCTTTTAAAAAAGCGTAGAACAATTTCTTAAAAAAAATAATAATGAATCAGATGTAAAAGGCTTAATAAAAACATTACATTTTTTAAAAAAGTGCGAAATTAATGGTCATATTCCATTTTTATAGGGGGTGGGTGGGAGGGGGTAGGGGTGATGGGTGTTTTTGTTCTTGTTTTTATTTTTCTTTACTTTGTGTACTAAATATTACGTGATTATACGTAAAGAAAAACGTACATTAGCATTAAAACTTTTAAGTTTAAATAAAATACTAGAAGCCAAACCTTTCATTTTAGAGACAGACAAACGGGCATTCTTATTCAATTTTTCGTTCCTTTTCCATGAAATCAATATATTCACTGATAAATAAAATTCCTATACAAATATACATTATTTTCACGAAGTCCTTCAACTTTTCTTTATATGTACAATATTTTGGTCAGATTTCATTCATTGATCTTTGATCTCCTTTTATATTAAATTTTGACCATAGAATTTTCTACGACCGGGCAAAAATTATTGCTTGATAATATATCTGACCAAAAAAGTACAAATCAGCCGTAGGGTAAAGTGGTACATTAAATTCAAATTTTTGATGGTCTTGTCACTCCACTAATATATTAACTCTAAACAAAATACGGTTGTTACCCTTGTATCAACAACTTCTTTCCAGACTGCCTCATTTAATTTTTTTTTATCGTAGAACTTCCCTTTTCTTAACAAATCAATAGGGAGACATGACCCTATATGCAGGTGATAATGCTACAACAATAAGTGAAATTGAGAATAGTAAAAAAATGAAGTCATCACCTTTATCTTAAGGAATATCCATACTTTTACAGATCCGGTTTTAATTTTAAACGCCAATATAAAATTCTATTTATCACTTGTCTATTGAAATAAAATCTTTTTGGATGATTGATGATAATATAGCAAGCATATATTTGTTTGTGATAGTGTCATTGCGCAAACAAAGCATTTAATATACATTATTTATGGAAATTAACACTATGCACTCTGTTCATACTGGATCTATGTGTCATTAAGTACATACACAGACACAACATTATTAATTGCCTTTATGGATTAAGAAGCTTTAAAAAACCTATTCGAGATTTATTTTTATTGATTTCAAGCCTACATGTACATTATCTTTTTGAATTTTACTTTTAAAAAATTGCAAAGAATAATTGAAAAACTTTATATTCCCAAAATGGGAAAATACGTGTTCAAAAGACTGTTTTGTTAATTTTATCTGGTCAACCATAATACAGTATGTGATTTTGTTAACCTTATATATACCGGGGTAATTATTAACAGTTTTTTAAAAAAAGGCATATCAACAGTTTACTCGAGTTGTTTTAAGTTTTTTGTATATATGTGTTGTGTATTGTTTATTTCAAATTTATTTATAAGTATAATTTCTCATCTGAAAAAAAAAAATCAGTGAAAATTTGTTCCAGTATAACTTAAAATAATATTGTCACTACTTATTAGTAATATTTTCTCCTACCAACAGGGAGTAACATTAATTGATTCAACATATATGGGGAAAATATAAAATGTACAAATGGCACTGTCATTATGGCGACAATGTGGTAAGTACTTATAATTATCTGGAACATTTAAATTATGTCTAAAATAAGTATATCTTGCATTTAATTTGGGGAATGTTTACTTTTTATAGAACTTTCTTTCACGCAAGCATATACTTTTATAGACCATTGCAAAGAAGAAACATGCCATAAATCTACGATGGAAATACATGAGAAATGTCCAAAATACATCTATCGGGATAGCACATGACAGGGAGTGTTAAGCTTTGTCCTTTAATCAATTTTGCCTTGTCAGAAGGTTCAATATCACAAACTCTGTGTTTGGACAATTTTTAATTTTAAAAAAATGGTACGGTACACTTGTGTCGTAGAGGATATGACTTATGACTTGTTGGCTGCTCTTCGTAAAGCTGTTTTAATCTTTCAATATGATGCAGATGTGTACAGGTTTATAAGATGTAAATAATCATCGCTTACATGTACAGGGTCAGCAAGTTAGAGAAACTTATAGAGGAATAATTACTTTCTTAGACATTATCGTAATTTCGAATATGTTATTTTCATAAGAATTAACATGTTTTGGTATTGTTCATTAAACATTCATTCATTGCTTCTGTGTGATTTGTTATATTTAACCACCATTCCTCGCCCTGCGTACCTCTCCTTATGTTAAGACATCTTTGGACTCGCATTTATACGTATTTTTCAGGTTTTGTTTTAATAAAGAACTATATTCGGTAGTGACCAATATTTGCCCCCTCCATCAAACTTCGACAGAGAAGTATTTAATGACGTTTCAAAACACGGGGATATCATCTGCAGTCATACATTTAGTGATTGACATACTTCCTCTCGATTTTTTAACCAAATATAGCATGTATACATGTACCTATATCTAACCACCAACATGTGTCCTGTGACTTAATTCCACATCTGATTTTCAACACTTCTCAATGAATTAATGATATATCAATATATTGTTGCGCAGTATTTCTGAAAGTTTCCACTTACTAAAGTTAAATTATTAATGAGGAGTAAAGAAAGAGGATTTCTTATGTCATTGACAGTAAGTTGTCTTTTCAACCAAAATGGAAAATGCAAATTTACTAACCTAGTCATCGGTCATTTGCAAAATTAATAGTATTTTATGAAAAAACATTTTGATTGTACAGTCGCACCTGCTGTTACGGCCACCCTTAATCAGCGGCCACTCCTCATGAGCGGCCAGTTTCAATCCCGCCCGTTCATTTTTTCACTATATTTTAACTCATTTAAGCGGCCACCTGTCTAACGCGGCCAGTGGCCAGTGTTTTTAGGTCCCGTGCGCTTAACATGCCTGTTTTCAGCGGCCATTTTGTCTGACTTCCGTCTGAAACGTGACCTCGTATCCTCATAAGAAGCCAAACATGAACAGCTGATAATGAGTTAATGACCAATAATAGCAGGTTTAGTTTGAATTCTGACAGGATTTAATGATTTAATTGATATGATTTATTGTTAACAAATGTTTTTGGTGTTCTTTATAAATATACGAATGTAAGTTGGTGAATATGTTCATGATATAAACTCAATACATCAATTACAATTTCACCTGAGGTTATCAAGTGAAGCGGCCAGTCTTGCGTTTAACCTTTTATGTTATATAATCAAATACATATCTAGAAAAACTAAAAAAGCTTTACACAGCATCAGGGAAATGCTGAGTTGTTAGAACATTTCATAATTTCGTGTGATGTAAATTTTATGGCTGTAAAAAATTAAATTAAAATTAAATTAAAACACACACACAAAAAAAAAAACAATAACAGATTTCTTTCAGAAAGTCATGTAAAATGAAATATAAGAAAAGGGAATCCATGTGACTTAAAACTTCCCAAGTTTTTTAAACTTGTTGAAATTGTGGATTTGGATACCTGTGAGAATAACTGGTCGCAATTTTTTATTCATTGGTTTGAAACCTGGAATAAGTGGCCACCTGTCTTATGTGGCCAATTTGTCATTCTCCCACAAGTGGCCTCTTAAAACAGGTTTGACTGTACACACAAGTACTATAAAGTTGATAGTAAAAAGATGTTTGAGTTTCTGAACAACAATGTATTGGAATTTCCATGGGTACATGTACAAATTGCGCCCCATTATTAGCAGATCTACAACTGTATATTTTTGTATTCATAGGAGGCAGAATTTGTCAAAAATAATTTAAGTTCAGCTTTCATTCCTTGAATTAAACACTCGTCTGACAACATTGAGCTTGTTTTTTGCCAAATAACACAAGACATGTTTGTTCCAAAAATACATGTATGTCATTTACTATGAAATGACAACATATAATATAATACATAAAACTGAATAAAAAAGACTGGGAGACAATGTAACCTTAAAACACAATTCCTGAGAAAAATTATAAAACAATTATGCAATAACAATTGGTCTCCCAGTATAAGACTATTACATAACATATATAATTTGGCAAAATAGGTGGCCTCCAAAATATGGCCTTAAACATATGAATTGGCTCAAAATTCCATTATTAGGCCTAAATAGGATATGACTAACAATATAATACACATATAAAAAGGAATTAATTACAATGAAAAACATAGACATATGAGGTTGAGGTGGCCTAATGTACAGTTAAAGTCTGTTTGGGGATGGAGGTGGGTAATCCAGAAAATATTTCAGCAAATGTTTGGCCGTCTTGTCTTTACAATAGCAGTAGATATAATGATGCTAGTTCTCTTATCTCAAAAGGATAAAATTACCGGGGGGTCCCCACGGCTTTACAGATAATGAGGCACAAAGTGGGGAATTACAATTGAACATAAAATACATGAAACTTAACTTAAAACAATTTTACTAGCATAAAATATCATGTTGTTTAAAGTCATCATTTCGTAAACTCTATGATCGATACATGCAATGACCTTGTCAGCAAAAAATTTATCGTTGAGTCATATGTGCTGGATTTGAATGGCATTTTATTTATGGGTGCGTAGTTTGAAGTTTTGGGGTAAACCTATTCCCTATTAACAGCAATCTCTTTCAGATCAAAAATTGAATCAATGTCTCATCTTGGGATTTAAACTTCTAGATCATTAATTTTATCTGAGATTTTGCTTTACTTAAAGACAACATTCGTTGAGTCAAGCTTTGTAATCTCTGATTACCTACTAGCATGTTATCATTAACTCAGTCAATTCATATGCTAAATACCATTCAAAAATATTATCTGAGTTAAAAAAAAACCCCGTTAATTTTAACACACATGACCTGTAAAGTACCATTTTCTATTTTGTTTGAGAGAAATTAAAGTTGATTTGACTTCTACAGTACTACGTACTGTACTTCTACAGGTTAACTTCGCTACATAACTTCACCAACCTTGTCTTTTAAACTCCACTATACACACAATCAAAGACATTTAATTGAATATTGCAGCCCATGATATTTTTGCTTTCTCTGCCTTTTCAATACCATTATCCTGAGACTGTCTTCCAGACAGCTCTGAGAATTGAAAACACCAATTGTAACTTTACTAATTTATTGAGAAACAAGATCATAATAATACAACACACACAATGTTGGATGAAAATGGCCGCAAATTTTGTAGGAGTCAAGGGAGACAACTAGGATACCATTTAAACAAACGGGCAAACTAGTGGCCTCGCTTAGATGCGAGTGCCATGGAACCCCATGCCTGACACACGCATGATGGCTAGGCACACAAGCTGCACAGCTTTTACACCCTGCCTCTGGCTTGCTACCTGGTTTAGAATTTTAACACCAACCAGCCTGTAGCCTCTCCTACTTTTATATAGGTAGAGGGGGTCTGAGCACTGAAATGCTGCAGATCCCAAGCAATTTACATTTATTCTACACATTTCCTCAATGGCATTTAACTTCCATGTTAAAACACAGCCATGATACCCCCCTCATGCTTTGATGCAGATGGGCAGAGACAAACAGGTTAAGCATGTACTCTTGTTTACCTTAATGTTTCCCTGACTCCTCCCCCTTAATGAATGCGACATGGAATTTATTATTCTTTTTTAAATTAAGAGAAGAAAAAACTATATTGATATGCTTAATGTAAAGTCCACTTTTTTTTTTTTTTTTTTAAAGAAAAAATCCCAGCTTCTTCCTGAATTAATAGGCATTGGTTGTGAATCTGCCACAATAATCACTTGAGAAGTCCTAAGTATTGAAAGAACAAGCTTAGCTTGATTGAGTCCACAGCATGAAATCAACCTAAAAATATAAAATACTTGGCACAGATTAAGTGATCAAAGAAAAAACAGTTACATGATAATATATATATATATTTATATACATTTTTTTTTTTTAAATTTGGGAGTGGTGGGTGGGTAACTTTTACTAATGACCAAATGGCTGAGATGTTAAAGAGGAAGAGGAAGTTGCTATAATAGATAACTCATCCTGATGCTGACTTTCCCATGAACTAGATAACTTGTACCAAGTTGTGTCTTATGTTTAATGCTATCCAAACAATTAAATGAGATTATCTCATATTCATTTCAATAATCTATATTAATTGAATATTGCAGCCCATGATATTTTTGCTTTCTCTGCCTTTTCAATACCATTATCCTGAGACTGTCTTCCAGACAGCTCTGAGAATTGAAAACACCAATTGTAACTTTACTAATTTATTGAGAAACAAGATCATAATAATACAACACACACAATGTTGGATGAAAATGGCCGCAAATTTTGTAGGAGTCAAGGGAGACAACTAGGATACCATTTAAACAAACGGGCAAACTAGTGGCCTCGCTTAGATGCGAGTGCCATGGAACCCCATGCCTGACACACGCATGATGGCTAGGCACACAAGCTGCACAGCTTTTACACCCTGCCTCTGGCTTGCTACCTGGTTTAGAATTTTAACACAAACCAGCCTGTAGCCTCTCCTACTTTTATATAGGTAGAGGGGGTCTGAGCACTGAAATGCTGCAGATCCCAAGCAATTTACATTTATTCTACACATTTCCTCAATGGCATTTAACTTCCATGTTAAAACACAGCCATGATACCCCCCTCATGCTTTGATGCAGATGGGCAGAGACAAACAGGTTAAGCGTGTACAAGGCTGATGTCTCCCTTGACCTTGCCACTAACATCGATATGATGTTCCCCACAACAATTTGCACCAAAATTAATATTTATATATATAGCAATCCTAAACTAGGAAATTACAGGTCATCACAACTGAAATCTGACTAAATAAACAAAGGGCATTACTGAGGAGGGAAAATTTTGCCCTTTCCCCCTAAAATGAATTCCAAACCACCCTGAATATTATTTAAATAAGCCTTATTCCCCCTTTCCGATAAATGAGTTCCATCATATCTAAATAAACTGCTTTGATGAACGTTGATATTTTTGTCATGAAAAATGCAAGCCCCATTAACTTCAGATGTAATGAATTTTCTAATGGCTTTATTCACCTTACGCCGTTTTAGATCAATCTTAGCCCCACCCTTGCCAAGAGGTGCACCATGCCAATAAAGGCGGGGAAGCATTGTTGACCAAATAAGCAAAGTCTTAGGAAGCAATACATTATAACGATACAAACTACATTGAATTTCATGTGAAAATCTAAGTGCAGTATTGCCAGCCGTAGTTAGATCATTTGACCCTGCGTGAATGACTAGTACATCTGGATGTGGTTGGTGTTTGAGTTCATCTGTTAACACTTTGTCAAGATCTTCCCATTTCAGCCCTCTAATTCCCTTCCAAGTGATGTCCATCCCAAGATTAAGATTCTTTCCACCCGGTCTCCTCCCTGCCTCCTCACCAGCCCAATAAGGTATTGAAGATCCCACTATCCAAATCGTCTTGAAACCTGGAATACTTTGGCAAAATTAGCCTGTATTCCATTTAACAATGCTAACATGTTATAATCTTATGTAGTTTCTGAAAGCTTTTGACTCCCACCGGCCCAAAGATTTTATTTCTGAATCTGGAAACCCCTGTTTTGCAAGATCTGTAGCCCTGCCTATTCTAAAACTATGTGGTCTAAAGTGTCCTTGAATGTTCCTGAATTGAAGAGCTTTTTGAAGCACATAGTTGAATTGGTATCTTGTTACAACCTTATTGTCGACATGAATAAAGCATAAAAGGGAACCATCATTAGGGCGCAGCTGCAAAAACCTGAGTGCCCACTGTACTGGGCAAATATCCGAATTTAACTGTTTGGAAATATGCAATGTTGTTGTATTTCCCATTTGGTCAGTTTTGGACCTGGGAATTAAGATGCTGACCTTGCTTCTAGTAAACGTGATGTGTGCCCTATGGATATTCAAAACTTCACTTACTCTAAGCAAGCCGTGATATGCAATTGAAAAAAGTGTGGAAAATAAAACTGCCTCGTAAGATGATCTACACACTGACGGCAATGCTGATACTACATGCTCCAAGATAGATACAGTTAATGGGATTCGAGAATCAACAGTGATACCTCTCTTTTTGTTTAGACCCTGCAAGGCTTTTTTGACAATGAATGATTGAGTGTTATCTTGTATGCCTCTTAATTTATGGATATATGATAATGCGCTAATGTACAGTGCAGCTGTTCTATAAGCTGTACCTGAAATAGAAAGGTGGGCAATGAAATTAAGCAAATGATCAACAGGAATGGGGAAATACAATGTGGTCCCACAATTATTCAGGAATTTTTTGAAGTTGGTGAGAGCCCCCTGGTAAGCTTTGTAAGTGTTTGCTGATAGTGAACCCTGTATAAGTCTGTTTGCCTCCCTTGTTAAATTTCCCACATATTCTTGGGAAGCGGTGTTGGCCATGGATCCGCTGCCGGTGCTAGCCGTCGGAATTTGCCCCACTGTGAACGAGAGATAGAATCCGCAATAAAATTTGATTTTGAAGGTATGTGTTTTGCTTTAATCAAAATATTGTGTTTGAGACAAGTGAGAACTAGTTTTCTTACAATTTTCATGACCCTTTGTGACTTTGATGTCGAGTTTATGACATGTACCACTGCCATATTGTCAATGTTAAACAAAATTTTATTGTTGGAAAATTGATGTTTCCACAATTCAATAGCTATATGGACCGGGAAAAACTCTAAAAAGGTCATGTCACGGGTTATGCCTTGTACGAACCAGGAAATGGGCCATTGCGCATATGTCCACTTGCCTGCAAAATATATACCAAAGCCCCCCTTCTCTCCCCCTGCGCTATCAGTGTAGAGTTGTAGAGTCTCATTATTCACCCATACACCTTCTGTAATGACTGAAATGCCATTAAATGATTGGAGGAAGTCAAGCCAGACTTTGAGGTCTGCTTTCATTTCTAACGTTACGCGGGTATGGTGATGAGGTTTGTTTAGGCCAATTGTTGCATCAATCAAACGTCGACAGAAAGCCCTACCTGGAGCTATAACTCTACATGCAAAATTTAACAAACCCAATAAAGACTGAAGTTGCTTAAGAGTAACCTTCTTAAGTGCCATAATGTCGAGAATCTTTTGTTTGATTTCATCAATTTTTACCAACGGTAACCTCATGATCATTTCCATCGTATCAAACTCAATGCCCAAGAACGTAAGAACCTGCGTTGGATATACTGTTTTGTCTTTTGCAATAGGGACCCCCAGATCGTTGAACAGATAAAGAAAAGTGTCCAACATATTTTTACAAATGGGAAGTTCTTTGCCACAGAAAAGAAAGTCATCTAGATAATGCAGGATTGAGGCATTTTTTGAGCAATCCTGTATAAGCCAATGCAGAAAGCAAGCAAATCTGTCCCAAATTGCACAACTTATTTTACAACCGAAAGGTAGCATCTTGTCATAATAAAAACCATCATTGAAGTGAAAACCTAACAAGTCGAAATCAGTGCTGTTCACTGGTAGCAACCTAAAGGCTGATTTAATGTCTGACTTTGCCAGAAATGCCCCCCGACCTAATTTTGCAATAATGGCGGCAGCATCATCTATGGTTGAATAGGTAACTGAGCTCTGTTCTGAGTCAATGAAATCATTTATTGAAGCAGATTCTGGATATGATAAATGGTGAATGAGGCGGTAATCACCGTCTTTTTTAGGTACAAGGCCTAAAGGAGAAACTTGTAATGTTGGAAAAGGTGGTTCTATGAAAGGACCCGCAACCCTCCCCAATGAGACTTCTTTGTAAATCTTTTGCTCTGCAACTGGATATTGTTTGTCTAAACTTGTAAGATTCTTAGAAAATCTGGGTGATCTAGGGCCAAAATACTGTAATTTGAAACCATGTTCAAAACCTTCCCTTAAAAATTTATGATCAGAATAATTTTGTGTATGTAAAAAAATTTTATCTAGTTTAATTGGGGTCCTGCCCAGTTTATACAGCTGCCTTGTTGGAACAGGTTGTGGCCGGATGCTTTCCTCCGCACCTCCTACAGACGTGCTTGAATCTGCATCTGGGGAAGAAATTGCACTTTTTACCCTGATTGAAATGATAGCAATACTGGGTAGCAGCGGATGTGCTGCTCTCATCTAAATTTTGTTTAGCATTGTTGAAGTGATTCTGACTGCCAAAAGAATTTGAACTTTGGTTGGTCACATACAGTAGCCAAAATTCTTGACTTATAACCCCCCAGGAGGATTCGGGATTGCTAGCTTTGCGTAGCCGATATTGTTCATCGTATTTGAACCAGCCCTGTGATCTAGAGGCAGCTAGTCTGATATCTCTCATGTATTTTAAAAACTCTTGGGCCCTAGTGCGATATTTCTCTAACATAACACTCATGTAAATCATTAAAGCATTTGTCCATTTTTCAATTGTCAAATATGAACCAACCTTTGACCGGACAATACAAAATTTCCCGTCTCTAATTTTAATTTCCCCTTGTCCTCCCAAACTATCATTAATCTCTTTGGCTGATTTTAACAGCAGACCTAACTCAATAAACTGTCCATCCCAAATTTTTTGTTTTAACTTCAAAGGAATGTGTTGACCTACATTATCGAAACAGCTAAGTTCTGGGACAGGAGTGAAATCAGAAAGATTTACATCAAGGGAGAAATCTGAATCAACATTACCCATGATTGGTGGTGTGAATTCCCCCAAGTCACTGTCGGGTGAAGCATCACTCCCTGCAGTCTCTGGTTCGGCATGGTGGGGGGGATGATCATTCCTGGCTCCAGACCTTTGCTGCCTGGGAGCATGGCGAGGCTTTTTGTGTCCTCTGCCCCTGGATGGCGACACCATCTCCCCTCTGATATCCCTCTTCCTTTTAGGTGGCATGATGGTTAGGATTGGACAGGATTTTTGTTTGTAACTTTTACTAATGACCAAATGGCTGAGATGTTAAAGAGGAAGAGGAAGTTGCTATAATAGATAACTCATCCTGATGCTGACTTTCCCATGAACTAGATAACTTGTACCAAGTTGTGTCTTATGTTTAATGCTATCCAAACAATTAAATGAGATTATCTCATATTCATTTCAATAATCTATATTATTTATAATCAAATTAAACAACCCCGCAATGTTTTGCAGGTATTTCATTTAAAAAAAACTCTGGGTCGCTAAGTACAAAACCATATTAGAGGCTGTACTTTATCTTGTTATTGGTAAAATAGTGCAATTACAAAAGCACAATGGTGTAATGAAATTGGAATGAATAACAATATCACAATTACATTGCACTTATTTGCTAAAGCTTGAAAAAATATGAATAATTTTTTGTCTGCTAAGCTAAGCATTCATTTCGTGACTTGAGGATTGCTGGATATATGAGTACTCATCTGAATTATACCTCTCTAAAAATCCTAGATATATGTCACCTGAATACTGTACGAAATTTCAACCGGTTTACAATATATACTAGAATCATTCATATTTTAATGTTTGTCCTTGTAAATCTGAAATAAAGGTTATAGCGGTACTTTACAATTATACCTTATAATTCTTTTGTAGTATGCTTTTCACAAGATACGATACACTAAAGATTTCAGTAAACCATTAGGGAAAAGTATTCCAAATATAATCTAAATGCATGTTACAGCATATTCGTTTTCTTATATTATAATTTACTAATATTTGTAAATCATTTTTAAATTAATGTTATTATTTACATATATATTTATATTTTATTTTTTTTTTAAAAGTTAATTGTCGATAATTTGCAGGCATATGGCAGGAAAACGATAAAAACCGAGTGTTTTTTTTGTTTTTTTTGTTTTTTTGTTTTTTTCTTTTTTGGAAATATTGAATGCCCAATTGTACTTGATGACAGATACCGCTTATAAATTTATCTCTCAGTGCAAAATCTCAAAATAAAAGAAAAACATTTAATCTCTACCACTGATTCATTGGCTATTATCGATGAGTAATATGTTTTCGAACCTGGTTGACGTACAGTAAGTGTAAATGGATAGAATGATTTGCTGTTGTTATTCAGTTTGAAATCTTTATGTTCACTTATTAAAATCAAAATAAAATATTTTTTTTTTTTAAATTTGCACAATTTATTTTAATTTGAATATCTCAAATCAATAATGCCTTCTTTTTATTTTAATTTTTTTTTAATGTCATAGAACAACTTGTGCACAAATCAGAATTGAGAAAGTAATTGCAGTCTTTGAACAATGTAAAAGTATTTTCGGAGCCGTACAAACATTTTTGAAGAAATCCCGGGGAAATTGAGATCCAGCAAAACAGTAACTTTCTCTTCTCTTAAAGTTGAATCGCTTGTGATAGTGTATACAACTGCACTTATATTTAAACGTTAAAGGTAAAGAAAACGAACAGTGATAGATCTAAAAATAAACAATAAAAATATATAAAAGGGTGATAAAACACGGACCCCTGGAAATTTCAGTGGTAGGATCAGGAGCCTAGGAGGAGTAAGCATCCCATATTGACTGTTCACAATCGCCGTGAGCCCTATGTATAGATAAAAATTTCAATAAAAATAAAACTCGTAAATCTACTTACTTGGTCATTGGTCATTTGCAAAATTATTTTGTTAAAACACATTCTGATTGCACGCACAGGTATTCTGAAGTTGACATCAAAAAGATGCTTGAGTTTCTGATTGACAATATCTATGTTGTGTTTGGAGACCAGGTCTTCCAGTAATCTATTGGAATTCCAATGGGTACCAATTGCACTCTGTTATTAGCAGACCTACTTTTATATTCATATGAAGCAGAATTTGTGCAAAATCTTATGCGTGAAAAGAAGAAAACACTTGCTGTGGCCTTCAACTCAACATTTAGAAATATCGACGACGTACTGTCAATTAACACTGGTAATTTCCATTCCTACGTCGATACTATATATCCTAGTGAGCTTGAGATAATAGATACCACAGATTCTGACACATATGTTTCATACTTGGATATTTCATTAGGAAAAGACGTTAATGGTAATCTAACAACGAAGTTCTATGATAAACGTGATGACTTTAACTTTTCTATCATCAACTTCCTTTACTTATGCAGCAATATACCTTCATCATCTGCGTACAGCGTTTATACATGTATATATCTCAATTGATTCGATACGCAAGAGCATGCTCTATGTATGAACAATTTCTACAACGAGGTAAATTATTGACAAACAAGTTGATGAAACAAGAATAACAGCAGTCTCGTTCAAAGTCATTATTTCGTAAGTTCTTTGGTCGATACAATGACCGTGTCAACGAATACAATTTATCATTGAGTCAAATCGTGACTGACGTTTTTCATACTTATTGTTAGTCCATTATTTATACACTGAATTGAAGACGGATTTTTCCGTTATTTCACGATCATAACAAAGAGCACATGGCGGGTGTGACCGATCAGCAGAGGATGCTCACTCCTCCATGGCATCTGATGCCACCCCGATGTTTTGGAGGTCCGAGTTTGCTCTGCCCCTATTTTGTATTGTTTTATGGACTTTGATATTGAATGCTGTTCGTTATCTCCATATCCTTCACAGATCGAGTAGACGGAACTATCCGTAGTCAATTCAAAATGAAAACAAAGGCTCACTGGTATGAAACATGTCAGCCAAAATAAACTGGCAATTGATAGAATATTTATTTAATATACCTGAATAGGATCTGATTGTTCAAGGAAGGTTGTCATTGAATATCTACTCGTAAATATGCATGGCCTGATAAGCAAATAAGATAATTATTGAAGCATATTAACATAAACACATTACCATGTTCTAACAAAGTTTGAAAATATACGAGAACTGCAGAATAAATCTTCTAGCCATCCTTTAACTCTATGGTTCGTATCACACTTAAAGCTGAACACGATTCATAAAAAAAAAATTGTATGCCATATTTGTTCGATCTCTCGCTATTTCTGCGGGCCCCTATAAATAGAGCCGGTCACTTACTCGGTGTTCAGTGTAATGAATTGTCACCGATGAACATGGACGTATGCTATACACGCTCGGTAGCGACAAAAATAACAGTGTACATGTACTTCTTCCAATGCAGGAAAGTAAGATACCAAAGACATTAACAACAGTTGCACAGGTCAGTGTAGTATAATTGTAATAAATTTTAAACAAAGGTAATACAAGATAACCAGCACGAACACGGGTCGCCTTTCCACGCCGATACCCTTGACAATACAGCAATCAGTGTAACGAATGCGAAGAATATACCCTGGTGTTGATGTGTCACAGAATGATAACGAAAATGGCGTATGTCTATTTACGAGTCGTGTTCAGCTTTAAGAGTTTTAAATTAAAAATAGATGAATTAAATAAAGTTCACAAAAGAGTCATTATAGAAGTCGGTCCACACATTTTGTTTTATTTTCATTTGACTAGGAAGTTAAAGATGTCTTGTCATGTATTGTCATGAATAAAGGGATGATCGACCTTTTTTGCAAAAAAAAAAAAAAATCTTTTTACTTTTTTGTATTTAAATTTAAACATGTAAGCAATTTACGCGGATTTTGTTTGATTTCCATTCAAATCCTTAATGATTTTTTTTTATTTCAAATTGGAATTGGAAATCTACAGTAAATGGAACCTATATATATTATATTTGTTCTTTAATATGATAAACAATGCTTTCTTTATAGTTTGATCTGTCCCATTATTTAATTAATTTTGAAGTATGTAATTATTTTCCTTTTTGAATAAAGGAACAATGATGAATTAAATTATTTCACCCATTAAAACGAAACCGCTGTATTTCATCCTGCTGGGAATTCGATTCCGATATCGATATTAAGATCTCCATTTTTCCATTATAATGAATGTCAAGTGGTCTTAACTAGGATAATGTTCGTCTTCTGAAACGTTTCATATCTTGATATAGAGGGATTTGAGAGAAAAATACTGAGACGGCCCGCCGTCTGAACAAATCTTCGCTGCAGGAAGCTGCTTGTTTACAACCCTGTGTAAACAGTTTCGCGGTGAAAAAAGTTTCTTTGAAGATCTACACAGTAAACAAAGGTAACTGAGAGGGGTTTTTTTGTTATGTAATGTTTTTTATTTTTGCTTTGCAACTCGATTTTTATTGTAAGAATAATTAAGCTTGTATATGCTGCTTTATTTAAAAAAAAATTTAAAAAGATAATTAAATTTAGTTTTGTGAAAGGGAAATTTTTACGTTGAATTATTAAGCATCTTGATTTCTGCTGAAATCGCATATTTTTCACGACGGACTTTTTCATGGTTTGTGTGTTAGGCATGTGTGTATTTTGTTAAGAATTGCAAAGAAAAAGATTGATCTTTAATCTTTTCTAGACTTTATTTGGGAAAATGTATTGTGTTGTATTGAACACTGACATGTATTTGATTAAAACTTTTAGTTTATACTGATTGATTGTAAAATGTTGAACATCCTTCTCGAGAATTTTTCACTCATATTGAGATGTCACGACTTGCCGGTGGATAGCTACAAATTTTGTCCTATGCTCGGCTATTGATCATGAGCATGGAGGGATTTTTTCGTGCCTGCACCTACTTGCGATACGGGACTTTGGGTTATACGGTCTCATCCGAAGGACCGGTCTCTACGTCCCACATTGGGATTCGAAACCGCGACGTAAGGATTGACTTCTTACTTCGCGACTCTAGAGCAGACGCTCTAACCACTGCGCCACGCGGGCAACGTTTGGTTGATAAAACATTTCTGGTTTATAAAACGTGTTACCTTTTGGTTTTTAAAATGTGTTACTTTTTGGTTTTTAAAATGTGTTACCTTTTTCATGTCTTTCTTTGTGTATTGGCTATTAGTGAAATCATAAAATCATGCAGTTTTTACATACTCTGAAAAGTGATTTGGTATAGATACAATACAAAATCTATGAGCGCAACGTTAATTCAGTGGATGGGTATCATTTGAAGCTCATGACCCTCGTCTCTTTTACAGCGTCATAGAACTGTATGTCACCCAGAAAAAATATATATATAAAATATATATATATATATATATATATATATATATATATATATATATATATATATATATATATATATATATTCCATATATATATATATTTATATATATAATTATTTTCTTCTTTGAACTTTTTTTTCAAAGAAAAATTTACCACTCCTCTGGGTTAAGTAATACCTGACTTATTGGATCTATAACATGAATGTGGATTTCTACCAGGTGTTATGAATTGCCTCCTGAATGTACATTAACACATTTCTTCTTGCACGTTTGCCGATATTATTTTCAAACTAGAGCAAAAACCTTTACTCTTCACCTTGAACAAATACTTTGATATATGGATTGTTTTTAACAAGCATTGACATACCAGATGGTTATGCAAACACAAATCTATTTTTGAAATATACATTCAATCTCGGTATTGAGTTAAGATATTGACGGCAGAGACGTAAGTGTTATACGAATACTCTAGGCCTTATGTTTACATACTCCAATTTTTTATTCAGAAATTTCTGTAAAGAGTAGATGAGTTAAATCGTTTTATAGCTTCTTTGAAGTTCATACCAAAAACACTTTGAGTGATACAATGGATTTTAAAAAAAATTTACTACGACTCAATAATAAAGATAAATATTTGAAATGTAATTAAAAAGTAAATAATTATCCAATTTATACAACATTACTTCCATTTTCCCAGGGGGAGAATTTGACGTTAGGTTACGATTCAATAAAGATAAATATTTGAAATATAATCAAAAAATAAATATTCATCCGATTTATGCAACATTGCTTCCATTTTCCTAGGGGAGAATATGACATGCTTAGACTGGACATCTCATCTCATTAAACAGTGGACTTAGGAGGGGATTTTACACGTGATCTGGAGACTTGATATCTAATTCAGAGAATGTTTGAAGGAAAGAAATGAGACATCCTGCCGTCTGCGCAAAAGCATTCGATTTCATTTCACCAAGGATATCGTAGAGAAGAAAGTCAGAAGGAGAAACACTGTAAACATCGTATACCGGAGATACACATGGTTTAGTCTTATTTATGGATAAAGGTAAATCGGGAAGAATATTCCAATGATTCGTAGAGAATTACAGAAGAGATGAGGAATAAAAATCAACAGAATTTATTTTGTGTCTGAGATAGCAGAAGAAGTTTATTTGTTGCTTAATCGTGTAAAGTGGGAAATCTACAATCGCCTGTCATTGTATGGAAACTTACCTTCCACCGTTGTGTTCTTGGAAGTTCTGTAGATTAATCTGTCTTTTATGTGAGTATATTTTTACAAGTATTTTGTTTTTGTTCTGTGATAATTGCTTCTGTCTCTTTTTAGTCAGGTGTAGTGATTTTTGCATCCAAACTTTGTAATTGTTGTGATGAATTTTGTGATACCACTATTTATCATGTTTATGCTGCAGGATGAATTTTTTTAAATGAAATAATCAATATAGAAATGTATAAAACATGTTAGTGATTCGAGCATACATCAAACAAAAAGGTTTTTTGTAATACTAGAGCAAAATAAAAAAAAATTGAAACTGTATAATAGACTCAAATTAATTCTTCAACCAACATCATATTCTTGCTTCTTAAACACGTTAATGTAAACATAGATAGTAGTTGTAATAAATAGAGAATAAATTGTGCTAGTAAGCTTAATTAACAAGTAAATAACGACATCAAGAGAAAAGCAATAACAAATTGCATTATAGTCAGCGCAATACACACGGCTTTACACTGTTAACAAACATTAATTTGTACTATTGTTAAGGATTCATAATATTTATTATTAGGTTGTACTCTAATCTTATATTATTTTCTTTTCATTTTCATTTTAAAAAGGTAAGTGTTCCCTTTAATTTCAAATCTCAATATAATCATGTTTCCTACTTTCCTATGAATCATGTTCCAGTGAAAAAAAAAATGAAGGCATTGAATAGCTTGGTATAGCCCATTCAGAGCCGCCATACACTGAACAAACTTGAATCTTCACTTTGAAAGGAAACTCTCATATACATTGTGATACATCTGGCAAAAAAAGTTCTTTTTTCAAATTTGACAACATTTTAATTTTACTGTTATCCTATTGCTCACCCATGTAAAGGACAAGGTCTTTATATGAGCAAACTTGTTTTACCAATTATCCTATTGATGCATTTTGCTAAGTTACCGATGAATCCGGAAAGGCCGAAATCAGTAAATAATTTATAGGTAGACTTTAATTTGGTCTAGAATCAGGAATTTTCAAGTACTGGTATTTACATAGTATCATTTATCAAAATTTCCATGAATAATAAGTATAGGCTTATGCTTTTGATGTTCTCTAATATCTGGAATCTAGTAATCATTACCACTGAATCACGTTATTCATAGAAACCATTTAAAATATCTGCCCACTGTATTTATGGATTTTACGTATTTTTCAATGTGTAATGAGGATCATTCTTTTAGATTTGTGCTCTCTTGTTTGTAAAGAAAATGAAATTGAATTCAAGTACTGCAGACGTATTTTCCCCACTAGGTCATGTTGCAGCAGATTTGTATTTTCTCTAAAGTTCGCAGGTAACGAAATTTCTTGGAACAGTGTACTATTAGAATTGTAAAAAGTATACACCGTTATCAAATTATCACACCTTTCATTAAATGTTTTGCAACTGCCATGCATATCCTTACATTGTAAATTTACGATTACTGTTTTATACAAGCATAGAAAGTATGCGTTGCAGAGCAGTCACAAGTTTTTTCATACTGTTAAATCAAATATATTTGAGGGGGGCAAATTTTCATGGTATTAGGAAAAAAATATGGGTTCGTGGGGAATTAATTTCGTGGATGAAAAATTATTGACTAGAAACATCTGTAAAAAAAATTACATTTCATGGAGGACTTAATTTTGTGGGTCTTTTCATACCTCAAAAACCACGGAAATTAACCCCCCATGAAAATTAATGATTTACAGTATCACATTAAGAGGCATTGAAAACATAATTTGATCTTTTTCTTTACATAAAACTTCAATTTCGAAATTCATATGCAAATTCATCTTCATTTTTCATTTCAATAAATGATATTTGTTGTTCAGTGAAAATTGGATACATTATTCAAGACCCTTCAATGACTTTTTTTCAGGTCTACTTTGTAGAAACATTCGTTGTCTTGAGTGCTGGAAATGTATTGGGGAGGAATGTAAAAGTGAAGAATTCGAAGAGTATTCAGAGAAAGTTACCTGTGGCAAGGAAGATTCTTGTATGGTAATAATATCTTATTTCTGTCGTGTATATTACTAATTGATTTCAAATAAATAAGACTGACTCTAAAAAGAAATCCACCCATTTATTCTCTTAAAAACCATATGTATGGTACACGAGATACATATATACATATTCATATTAATCATTGGAGAGCAGATATTACAGGACAGACAGTGTCGAAAATTTAGATGATAAATATACACAATTTTCTTAAGAATGCTGGATCAGTTCTTGTCATCAAATTACAGAATTTTATAATATTTGAATGAACATAGTATTTCTGCAACAGAAAGAACTATATACATGTATGTCAATTCGATCATCTCTTCCAGTGATCACTACAATTTAATTATAATACGTGATGCCTAATTTAATATGGACTTGGCAGGAGAAATATGAAAAAAGAACTGTTCATTGACCTTTAATATTCTTTTACAGAAAGTTGTGTATGAAATGATAGACTACAACTCAAATGCCAAATACGAGTCTGTTGTGAGAATGTGTTCGAAAAGTCCCTGCGTTCCAGCCACAGAGGAGACCTTTAATGCATGTCGAAGGAAAATTCGATCTTACAGATATTACGGATGTTCAATACGATCATGTTGTAATTCAGACTTATGTAATGCTGCACCAAAAGTGTTTTGTTGGAATTCCACAATCTATTTTTATTTATTAACAATGTTGGTTTTGATTGATAAAATTTGACATGTGGTGCAAGTATTGATTATGCTTTTTATTATGAATGGATAAAATAATAAGACGTAAGTTTCATCATCCATATGTTTCATTACATCCACTGTTTATCTATGATTTCATGGACTTCTGATTAAGTCTTTCTGTTTTATATTTATTCATCCTTGTATACAAGTACTTTGATCACAAAATTATGATTTGATTTTAACATATTTTATTATCTACTTAAACATAAATGGATTGGGCAGCAGGCATAGCCTGTATCAACCCTCTCCACAATTACAATTTATATGCCGTACCTTGAGACATATTCCAAAATTTAGTTTAAATTAAGTTCTGTCCATTTTTAATTGAATTAATACAGAGTGTTATCAGATGAATAACGGTAAAACAATCTCAAATGAATACAACTTCAATTCAGTCTGTACAATCCCTCAGAAAAGGAAAAACAATGTCAAGAATATTTCTGGACAAAAATTGTATTTAAAAAAATTGATCTTGATTTTGCTAAATGTCGAAAGAATAGAATTTCTTCGTTTGGAATGGAGACTATGCGTCGCTTATACTGGTGCGTGTAATGGCGTCCTTTTTGTGTGTTTTAAATAAAATCGAAGGGGAGAAATGCACTAATAAAATAAAAATAGTAGATCTGCTACAAAATTCCGGCTTTGTTAAAGAAGTATTTCTAATTTGTAAATTCATAAATCGGTAACACAATACATTCTATCTATATAATGGGTTCTTTATTGATACCTTTGAAGAACATTTGGTTAATATTTTTATCTTTTCTTTATTTTATTGTTTAGATATAGGATAAACAACTCAAACTACTTTATCTCTTAAATTTGATTTCTTTTACTTTCTTTCTCAGAAGAAATGAAAATTTGATGGAGTAATTCAATCAACTAGAGGACTTTAACATAGTCGCATAAACTGTCTAAAAAATGATCATTTTTAAAAATGCACGAATACACACAATTCAAAATCCGGACATTTTTATTTTTATTAATATTCTTGAAACATTTGATAGGGAGCAGCTCTTTGTTAATCCAATATGTCAGCCATTTTTCTCTGCAGAAATATAAATTATGACAATAACGTCTGTCCATTCGAGAAATGTATCGACAAGCTGTCAGCCATTTTTAAGTTCAAACTTTCCATGGATCGGCATTGTCTAATGTAGCTGTCAATAACCATTTACCTGCTTTGTATCATATCTCTCTGATCTCCCTGCAGATTTTAATCCCCAGAACAGAAACCCTTCTCTGAGATGACAGGCATTTGAAAATGCTATTTCATGAATCCCAAATGTGCTTTCAAATATTGTATGATAAAAAGATAAAAAGCGAATGAGATTAAAGGGCTAGTAATAATTTACATGTACATGTAAAAATCCTTCCTTAAGAAATTTTCTTAGATCGGTTATATTTGTTGTAAACATAATTTGAATCAAACTGTTTTATGACAACAAATAACGCGTGAAGGTGAGAAAAATGAGAACAAATCAGTCAGAGAGTGAAATAAAAACAGCTTCCCCCACTAGATCACAAATTAAAGGCACATTTTACGAGATATATGTTATCAGTTAGCAATAATTGTTCCACTCAATATTCGCCGTACGCGTGGTCTGACACCAGACGTTACAATCATGCAGTGGTGCCGTTATACTTGTAAACAGTGGAATAAGAATTTGTTTAGCATAATGTTTATAGGTAAATGCTCTCAGGAAAGGAATGTTGGGAAAATACACTTGTTAGTGTTTCTGTTATATTATATAGACTACCAAATTACATTTATTACATAGAGAGTCTTGTTTATTCGTTATTGTTAAACGTCCCTCCGAGAAATGTTCAGTTGAACTCATCAGAGCTCGAGCACTGACCACTTCCCGTTGGGGTCATATACAAAGTCAATGAAAAAAAACATGAAGATAACGCAAGATATATAATATTTATTGTTAAGTTAACAATTCGATAACATAAGATATATATGATGTTTTCTGAAAAGCAAACAAGTAGATTTCGTAAGATATTATTATGTAGATCACACAGGTTATATACATGTACGTTTAATATTTTTTTTTATTGTAAATCTAGCAAGTAGATACCTTAAGATATATAGATGCAGTGTTTATATTAAATTAAAAAAAAAATGGATAACGTAAGATATTTAAGGAATCACTGTCTAGTTAGTATAGTATGCCAGGGCATCAACGATAGTGGGAAACATGGGATAATTTGCATAACGGGCAAAGCCCGTTATGTATAATTTATCCCATGTTTCCCATTATCGTTGTTGTCCCTGGCATACTATACTAACTAGACAGTGATTCCTTATATTTCCATTTCATTGTGAAATAAAATTGTAGATTTATACTTCAAAAATGTAGACATAGATTTAAATTACACGAGGACTCCCATGCCAGTTTCAATAGTCTTCGCCCACTGACGTCAAACCAAAGGCAGCTGCACGAGATTTACATGCATATTTGGCCTCCTTAGCGTCAGACAGAGGGACAGATGAGCACGAGATTTACATGCGTATTAGGCCTCCTTACCTATCGACCTGCCTAATTTACATTTCGGTAGAATTATCGAGAAATCAACTCGCTAACTTTCAAGAGGTTATCACAGAGGAAAAAAAATAGAAATGGAAATATATACGTATTATGTTTATTATGAATCTAACGAGTATACGTAGATAAGGTAAGATATTATACACTTATCCACTGGATGTGAGTGGGATAGCTCTTTTATCAAACCCGCGACAGAGAACTATTCTCCGAGGGCTTGCCCGAGGGGAATAGTTCCTGTCAAGGATTTGATAAAAGAGCTATCCCACTCACAATCAGTGGATAAGCGTTTTATTATACTGATGTATAATTTAATTTCTGAGTTTGAATTTCTTTGGAGTAAGATAATTCTGCAAGAATAATCTGAAATCCTGATGACATCACAATGCTACTGAGCTACTGAAGTCATTATGACATCATCAGTTTAAAGAATTATCGCTGGAAATCAAAATTGGCGGCAACAATTGCATGAAAATTTTCCGAGGGTGGATAGCAAAAAGTATACCCCGGGGTATAGTTTTGCTATGCGGTGACTATAAAGAATAGTTATTTTACCTTCTGAACTTTATATAGGAAACATTTTAACAGAAGTATAATAAATACAGTATATGTAATGTTTAATGTGAATAAACGAGTAGATAACGTAAAATATATGAAATGTTTATTGTAAATGCAATCTGTTTTATTCAAGTCGCCAGTATTTTGGGTATGCAATGGCATCGCCTATAGTTGTATAGATTTAAGTATGCTGCCTTGAAGACTACGTCTTATATATGTTTATTTCCACACTCCCCGTCTTCTGATGTCAGATACAACGAGAGCTGCACGAGATTGACAGGCATATTTGACTCCTGATCTTTCATTTGGCAAAACTTAATTTATCTAAAAATTATCTAAAACAATTATCTAAAAATCAACTCACCTGAATTTCAAAGAATTATCACAGAGAGAACAGATAGAAATGGAAATATATAATTATTTAGATATCAAATTGGAAATCAAAAGCAGTTCAGAAAGACCCTGAGCTGATCAAACTAATCTTTAATAATGATCATTCGAAATACATGAGTTTATTTCTGTATTTCATTATACAAAGAAAATTACATTCATTTGGTAAACTAATCAATTAATTGGACATGCAATGGTTGGGTATAGTGATGAAGCAATTTGTTTGCAGAACAAGTAAAAGTTATCGTGCAGTGCCAGAAAAAAGTCATATACTAGTGACAGGTGTTTCAATAGATTTAGATTAAAGTGATACATATGATGTATAATGTATATAGCATATGAAAGGCAACATACAAATTCGATTTACATTATTTATTCTTTACTTCTATCCTGTGTCCTGGTATAAATCAATTCATATTGTTTATAAACAATGAACAAATACATGTACTTAAAATGTGGTCGATGAGTGCAAAGAGAAGTTTTTCAGAAATGTATTTCGAAAAAAGAAACCATTTTTCTATACTAAATCTCAATGACAAGAAAATGAAATTATGAATATCAAAATTTAGAATTATTTTCTTGATTACATATATGACTGATGACTGATGACTGATATAACAATCTGGTGAATGTCAAGATATATCGAATAACATTTTCATAATTGTGAAAGATTGTGCTTAAAGATGACGATATGAAAACAAGTACACATAATACAAATCAACAAATTCTAGATAATTTGGATTTCCTTGGTTTCTAATGAGTCTTCATAGTCTTAATAGTCTTTGTAGAGTAGACCTGAAACAGAAAGAAGCGCAGTATTACAATAACACAGTTGTAACATGGGGTATCCTTACGCACTGTAATATTTGAACATATCATTGGCCCCGCCAGGCGGAGCAACCCCTGGCAAAAAGAGAATATCTATAAAACAAAACAGCCTTTGACATCGATCCCGATGCAAATAATGCCACTTCCGTTTTGCACAAAGGACAAAGACACACACACCCTCCCTCACAAACCCTTTCAAGGCGGAATTACCTGCTACACATCCAGTCATAAAACAGGCAGCATTTCCAGCTATCATGGCGCTGAGAACAATCTTAGATAAGTCTGATTTTCTAGATGGAACCAAGGCACCTAATCCTCCTAGAAGAATCCCAATAGAACCAAAATTTGAGAATCCACAGAGGGCGTATGTTGCTACAACCTCGGATCTGGTCTGTAAAGAGAGCCGGCCTTATAATTATTATTATAAGATTTTTAGATTAAGCAGGGCACAAAGTAAGACGACTTTCATGCACACACAAGAATACCTCAGGAAATATTATTTTGACTTGTAACATTTTTTTAAATTTATTATTTAACTAGATGCTGTCATGAGACAGTAATACCCGCACTAAGGTGTTTGTCTCTAAATGCACACTCCTTCAAATTGGGCTTTACCAAGGAAAAAGTCAATATAATTCAATAATTTACATAATACATGTATTCATCAAATTGAGCATATTGGCGGATCCAGAGGGGGGTTCCGGGGGTTGGACCCCCCCCCCCCTATATTTTTTGGCAAGTGGAGAAAGAGATAGAAAGAAGGGGGATAAAACGTTTATTACTATTACTTTTTATGAGTGAATGGTAGAAAATATTCTACTTATTTTTATATATCTTATATATGATATGTAACATGCGAGGTTAAATTTGATATTAGATTCCCGCGATCTTAATTTGGCTGTGTTGGCTATATACAAGAAGGTGCCATTAAAACTAAATCTTATGAAGGAACTAAAATTTAATTCATTGTTTTATACCCAGCCCAAAAAGGATTTTCAAATTCTTGAAGAAAATTCATTCTACTCTTCGGAAATGCTGCAAATCCATTCAATTATAAGGCTTACATGTAATACAGACGGGAGTACCTTTTCAAAGAAAAAAGGACGTAGAATAAAGATATTATTTTCCACAATCTTATATTTTTCCATTCATGTGTGTGTGAATCTTTGCCTGAGAGTGTGTAAAATGGGAGTGGGGGGTTAGAGGGACACAACCCTGGAACCCCCCCCCCCCCTTTTCAAAAATTGCTGGATCCGCCACTGGAGCATAATATGCTTAGGTGACCATGTGACCCATGGGCCTCGATCTTATAGGTATTTCATTTTCTTAATTCGTTACCAGTCTGAAATTTAACAACAGAATTTAATTAATGATGTAAATTAGGTTTGATAAAGGGGGGATATAAATTTTTGGCCCATAATTAATACTTTTTAAATCTATTTTCTCATATAGATTAACAACAAATAATATTATTCAAATTAATGCAAAGCGTTTTTTATGATTTTTTCAAAATGTACAAACTTTTTTATATTTGATAAGGCAGAAACACCATGAAAGCTGCCCTATACCCAATCAATTTAGTCAATCCCCCACCCCTCTCCGATCAACACACACACACACACAAACACACCCTATTTGCCTGTTTTTGGAAATAAGCCTAGATGGCAAACATCTTTTGTAAATGATAATTTTAAATTTGTTCTTGTACTATAAATGTATCACATTGGGCTTGCGTCACGTACCCAACTTAAGTACTAGTTTTACCATTATCATTTTTAGATTGGACTGCACGTGCAGTACTAGTGTGGTGTAAACATCATTGCATATATGTCAGTAGGAATTATTTTGTGTTTTACTTGGATTATGATTCATGAAGTTTACGGGAGTTATGACAGTCGGTAAGTACAAGAGTTGGTATAGATTTGGGTAAAATAGTCTGAAATGCAACTGGTTAGGTTAAAGTTTAAAGAATCAAAGGTCATCCGATGCTGCAATAAGACGAATTTCACATTCTGAAGAGTTATCGCCCGTTTTGGACGTTACATTCAGTTACAAGATACAGAATTTTTTTTCTGGGAGGGAGGGGGATTTCCAGACCAGAATTTCCTGAGAAGCCAAAAAAAAAAAAAAAAAAGAGAGAAGTTATGGTGGTCTCTGTTTTCTAGGGTGGAGGGCATCCAAAGTCATTTTTATTTGCTTCAGTATATATTATAGTCCTGCAAATTCCAGGGGGGTGGGGGGAGGGATCTCTAAATCCACTCCCTGTCCCTGTAATGACAAATGATCAAGTGACTCCTAAATAGGCTAGTAGGAAACTTTTTCCATTTGAATATACATAATTTTTTTTGTGTTATGTTATGTAAATTTAATGGTATAAAGGTTGGGAACCCCTGGAGGTCATCCCCACTCTCCTAATGAACTGGAAATGTTCACAATATGACTGCATTAAATTAAATAAAAGTGCATCAATGATAAGATTGCTTGACATTTTATTCATCAACCTATCCTCCTAGAATTACATGATTAGGAATGAAAATCATTCAAAGAGATGGACCACATTAAACTATTTGTATATATAAACCTTTAAAAATCTAAAAACAAGTAGTAGTTTGCATACATGAATACCTACATGTAAGGGGGCGCTTATAGGGGCAGGGGTGGTAAAAAGGGATTATACGGAGGGATGTTTAACAACAAAGAAACAAATGACATAAAACACAATATTTGCGTTAAGAAATATGAAGGGGATCGATTTTTCCTTCATATATCTTCTTCTCAAGAACAGCAAGGGCATTATTGTCCCCCGTTTTTGGAAAAGGGAGGGAACATCAAATCTCATTTGTCTGTCTGAGTCTGTCCATCTTTGACAGCATGTGCATCTTTAATAAATTTAACCTTGGTCATAACTTTTGAATAATAGGAGATAGGGCTTTCATATTTCACATGTTACGATGTATATTACCACAAAACTTTGTAAATGTACTATGATTTTTTAACTCAAGTGAGACTTTGACCTTAAAGTTTTACCTACTTTCAAAAAAATAACATTTTAAATTGATCATATTAAAAGAGAAAAGATAGGGCATTCAAATTATACATGTATATTACATGTGAAAAGACTTTTCTAAATATATCATGACGTTTGACTCTGTGACCTTGACCTAGAAGTTTAACCTACTTTTCAAAAATATTATATTATATAATATTATACTTTCATGTAAATTACTTGAATCTGATTCGTCGAGAAACATTTGATAAAAAACACTACTACCCGCTGAATAATGAAGCCACGCCCTCCTGCCTAGCAACAGTCAACATTGCTTGACGACGGGTGGTATTACAAAAAATAGCGACTGCGCGGAATTTATGCGCGCACGGTTCACTGTAATATGCATTTGTATAAAACATTCAGTATAATATAATAAATATAGCATGTAGTTGAGTGTAACATTGAAAATTTTCACCCCTTGAAAACCATTGTCAACCTCGGCTGCGCCTCGGTTGACAATGGTTTTCTTGGGGTGAAAATTTTCAATGTTACACTCAACTACATGCAATATTTATATAATATATAACTTTTGATTGAAAAGAGATGGGACTTTCATATTTGACATGTACATTACCTGCAACAAAATATTTCTGAGCATGCTATGATTTTTATGCCCCCGTAAACGAAGTTTCGGGGGTATATAGTTTTTGTCGTGTCTGTCTGTCTGTCTCTCTGTCTCTCTGTTTGTCTGTTTGTCCGCAAAAACTTTAACCTTGCCCATAACTTTTGATTTAGTGGAGCTATGATTTTCATATTTCACATGTGTATTCCTTGTGACAAGACCTTTCTTTTGGTACCACCAAATTTGACCTTTTGACCTTGACCTTGGAGTCTGGCCCACTTTTACATTAAAATTTTACTTTGGCCATATCTTTTGAACAGTAGACACCAGGACATTTATACTTCAAATATGTAATGTTTGTTTAAAGACCTTTCACTGGATACCGACAACCTTGACCCTTTGACCTTGACCTTGTAGATTTCCTTACTTGTGAAAAAATTTTAACCTTGGCCATAACTTTTGAACGGTAAGGGATAGGGCTTTCATACTTCATACATGTAATCCTTGTGAAAAGACCCTTTATTGAATACCAAGAACTTTGACCCTTTGACCTTGACCTTTGAGATTAACCTACTTTAAAAAAGCAAACCTTGACCATAACTTTTAAAGAGTAAGGGCTAGTGCTTTCATACTTTACATATTTGATCATTATGACAAGACCTTTCATTTGATAGCAATAACTTTGACCTTGACCTTGGAGTTTGACGTACTTTTTAAGAAATTGAACATTGACCATACCTTCTGAACGGTAAGGGCTAGGGCTTTCATGCTCTACAAAAGTATTTTATGTGGCAAGACCTTTCATTTGATACTAATTAAATTGACCTTTTGACCTTGACCTTGGAGATTTTTGTAATTAATAAAATAACTTTAACATTAGCTTACTTTCAAATTTCACAAACGTATCCCAGTGAGAATACCCTACTTTTGGTACCAATTAATTAAATTTGCATTTTCGAAAAGCTTAATCTTTTCTATGTTGCCATACGGGGGCATCAGTGTTTTACAAACACATCTTGTTCCCCTTTGACCTAATTTTCATAAATTGACATATGATAGGGGTGCATATTTGACACACAATCTGCCATAAATTATGGCATCCCATTCACTAAGTAAAATACAGAAAGCAGAGGACCACAATTCTTTGAATTTGCTTGTATAATCTTGATATGGAAACATTCTCATTTAATGTAGATTCAAGTTTTTTATGCCACGCCATGATTAGGAATACATGTATAGTGTTTGTCATGTCCATCCTCCACCCTTCCATCTGTCTTTCCATTGAGCTCAAAGAAACTTTCTAGATATTCTTATCAAAGTTCATATGTTGATGCATATACTGATGTAAACAATCCAACTGCAGCAATATTTTTTTACCTTGACTTTTCCTTTGACCTTCACTTAACTCTTCTTTAAATTAGTGTTTATAGCTTTATTTTAAAGAAACCATTCAAGTTGTGTAATGAAACTTCACATGATGATACATAGATTACTAATGTAAGCTTTACAATGCTTCACTCTTTTTGACCTTGATATTTCCTGTGACCTTGACCTCACTTTTCTAGAATTAATGTTTAGATCAGTTTTGAATAAACAATTCAAGATACATTATTTATCAAACTTCATATGCTAATACATACTGCTGAGAGCTGTTAATGCATCAACTTATTTTGACCTTGAATTTTCTTTTGAACTTGACCTCACTTTTAAAATATGTATTTATCTAAGTTTTAAATAAACCATTAATTATATTTTTATCAAACTTCATATGCTAATAGTAAATTCATACTGATGTGAGCTTTTAAACTGCAACAACGTATTGACCCCAACCTTTCCTTTGACCTCTCCTTTCTTAAAAAAAGTGTTAAGCTCAGTTTTATAAAAACATTCAAGATATTTTTATCAAACATAATATGCTGATATGTATTAGTGAGAGCTATTCAGCTGCATAAAAAAATTCACGTTGCACATTCCTGTGACCTTGACCTCCCTCCTCTTTAACTTGTATTTTGCTTAGTTTTAAAGATTAATTTAAGACATTTTTATGTTAAGCATGCACTTATACATTATTTGGTGAGAATTTATTATTTATATCCAATTTATTTAGATTTTAGTTTCAATTCTAATGAAACTGTTCAAGATATTTTCATCAAACTTTATATTCTAATACAAACTTTCATGTACATTAGCATTAATTAGTAATATACATCTGGCGGGACATTCATGTCCTATAGATATATTTCTAGTTTTTCAAATCATCACCTCACAGGCTAGGGTCAGGCCACAATTAGGGATCAAAGTTTTTTTTTTTACACATACACAAAACAAACCAATCATTTTTAAAATGATCATGGTTTAAATCTAATGCATAAAATATTAGGGAAGTTCTTGATCTTAAAAGCAGACTGAGAGTGATTAAACATATCAACCTTATAGAAAAAACAACAAATTTCTACCCCCATTTGACTCCCCCAGGCAAAATGAAAATTCCAAAATCTTACTGCACATCTACATGACACCACCAACCATTTCCCAAAAGATGATTAGGCTGCTGAGTCAAATGTAGAAGGAGTTCAGGGAAGAAGGGGTTTTTTGCATAAAAAACGTCATTTTTTGACCCCCCGGGGCAAAATCAACATTCCAAAACCTTACTGCACATCTACATGACACTACCAACCATCTCTTAAAAGATGATTAGGTTACTGAGTCAAATGTAGAAGGAGTTCAGGGAAGAAGGGGCTTTTTGCATAAAAAACGTCATTTTTCGACCCCCATTTGACCCCCAGGGGCAAAATCAAAATTCCGAAACCTTACTGCACATCTACATGACACCACCAACCATCTCTTAAAAGATGATTAGGCTGCTGAGTCAAATGTAAGAGGAGTTCAGGGAAGAAGGGGCTTTTTGCATAAAAAAACGTCATTTTTCGACCCCCATTTGACCCCCAGGGGCAAAATCAAAATTCCGAAACCTTACTGCACATCTACATGACACCACCAACCATCTCTTAAAAGATGATTAGGCTACTGAATCAAATGTAAAGGGAGTTCAGGGAAGAAGGGGCTTTTTGCATAAAAAACGTCATTTTTCGACCCCCATTTGACCCCCCGGGGCAAAATCAAAATTCCGAAACCTTACTGCACATCTACATGACACCACCAACCATCTCCCAAAAGATGATTAGGCTGCTGAGTAAAATGTAGAAGGAGTTCAGGGAAGAAGGGGCTTTTTGCATAAAAAACGTCATTTTTCGACCCCAATTTGACCCCCAGGGGCAAAATCAAAATTCCGAAACCTTACTGCACATCTACATGACACCACCAACCATTTCCCAAAAGATGATTAGGCTGCTGAGTAAAATGTAGAAGGAGTTCAGGGAAGAAGGGGCTTTTTGCATAAAAAACGTCATTTTTCGACCCCCATTTGACCCCCAGGGGCAAAATCAAAATTCCGAAACCTTACTGCACATCTACATGACACCACCAACCATCTCCCAAAAGATGATTAGGCTGCTGAGTAAAATGTAGAAGGAGTTCAGGGAAGAAGGGGCTTTTGCAGAAAATAAACATTATAGTTCTTTTTTCTTAAAGTATTAAAAACATCTAATCTTTTATTTTTATCTCCAAGACCCTGGCAGTTAACTGTAAGTATATTTAGATTATTATCTTTTACCGTAATCGTACACAAACATCAATAAAGAATCGAATGAATGCCCAATGTAAAGGAAAGATAGGAAAAGGGGGATAGAAACGTGAAAGAGAGATAAGGGTGCATATTTACAAACAAGGTGAATGAAACTAATTGGCATCAGTCTATTGATCGTATTTACTGATGAAGGAAGGAAATTTGTCAATCTGCATTTACCATGTTTACAAAACTTCTGATAAGTAGTCCCAAAACAAGTACAATCGGAAATATAAATTGCTAAATAGTTTAAGAGTCAGTCTGTGTAACTAATATTTTTCCGGAAAGAACTAACCAAGTATAAAAATATTCAAACTTAGAACTACTATTAGACCGTACATGTAATTGTACTTATGAATTGGAAATTTTAACAAAAATTACTTTTGCATGTAACACAGTGACAGTGTTTATTGTAAGTGTTCATCTATTAAAATTCTTAATAACAAGTGTGGCTGACGGCTTTGTTTACCAGATCCTTCATAATGTCAAACCGACGGGGACCTAAATGTTTACCATTCTTCCTCGAAATGACAATCGCTACGTTCGATACTTCTCTCTCAACCAGTACATTAAGTAGTCGACGTCCGGCCCCGTATTCCCCATTGTCGCAATAGCCGTCATGCACTCGCCCCTGGGCATCTTTGAATCGGTATACAAGGATATTATGGTTGGCACAGGCATAGTCCGGGTTGCGTAGAATATTTTTGTAAACGTTCCTAGCATGTGCATATGTGTGAATTTCGGCGATTAATGAAGTAAAGATGTTTCCATCTTCTGTTACGCTTTCGCACTTCCTTACATCGCATTCATCCAGTTTTTCGATTTCGTCCTTGTCCAACATGAGTATATCCTCAGCCCTTGGTGGTAGCACCTTGTCACGGTACACGCTTCCGTTTGGAAAGACTAACTTGTTTCCCACTATCTTTGTTTTGACGTTTTCTTCTCGATATTTATTGTTCATCTCCTGCAGTTTCTTTTTACCTTCATTTATTTGCAGAGGCGTCTGTGGAGTGATATAGAAGGGCATGTCCTTAGCGGTGCCATTTTCCTTCTTTTGACGAATAGCTTGGAAGATGAGTTCTTTATCATTGTAGTTCTGTAATTTCCCTGTTATTGTCCTTGGTTTCGGGTTGCCAGGGAATTTCTGACCGTTTCGGTGTATCCTGATGAAACCAACTTCCAAATTCAAATGCTCCTTGATCAACTCGCTAACTCTAGTGTTCAGATTTTCCTGGTCATCTTCAGCTAAGTTATGTACAAGAATATTGTCCCTCATCGATCTTCCTCTGAGGTCCACTATTTCATTCTCTTGCTGACTGACCCTTCTATCTAAGTTAACGACGATTGACTTTAAAACTTGGAGTTCTTTTCGCAAATAATTGTTTTCTAATTTCAGCGCCTCAATTTCTCCAACATTATCTTCATGTTGTTGACCGATGTATTTGATGCGCTCATCTAACCCATCCTCATCCCATAGATCCCGATTCATATTATTTACTGATTGCTGTAGAACATTGATATTGTCCAGTTTACCGGTAATTGACCGCAAGCAATCATGAATAGCGGACATCTGCGGTGACGCACCAGTGACTCCCGACGACAAGGCTGGGTTACACTGTGAATTGTTCTCATCCTTGCTATTTTGAGAGGCCATAATTTTTGAAGTTGCAAACTTCTAAACACTCACCAATTTTTTCCAAATTTTCACAAAAGACACTCCAACTATAAAGAAACACCTCTGCAAAGTTTTGGGAGCAACCACTAAACCATTAAATCACAGATCGACTTAATCCTCTCCTCAATTTACACCGTGACCACCCTAGCCATAGGTCACGTGATATCAAGAAGGGGCTTTTTGCATAAAAAACGTCATTTTTTGACCCCCATTTGACCCCCAGGGGCAAAATCAAAATTCTGAAACCTTACTGCACATCTACATGACACCACCAACCATTTCCCAAAAGATGATTAGGCTGCTGAGTCAAATGTAGAAGGAGTTCAGGGAAGAAGGGGCTTTTTGCATAAAAAACGTCATTTTTTGACCCCCATTTGACCCCCAGGGGCAAAATCAAAATTCCGAAACCTTACTGCACATCTACATGACACCACCAACCATTTCCCAAAAGATGATTAGGCTGCTGAGTCAAATGTAGAAGGAGTTCAGGGAAGAAGGGGCTTTATGCATAAAAAACGTCATTTTTCGACCCCCATTTGACCCCCAGGGGCAAAATCAAATTCCGAAACCTTACTGCACATCTACATGACACCACCAACCATTTCCCAAAAGATGATTAGGCTGCTGAGTCAAATGTAGAAGGAGTTCAGGGAAGAAGGGGCTTTTTGCATAAAAAACGTCATTTTTCGACCCTCATTTGACCCCCAGGGGCAAAATCAAAATTCCGAAACCTTACTGCACATCTACATGACACCACCAACCATTTCCCAAAAGATGATTAGGCTGCTGAGTAAAATGTAGAAGGAGTTCAGGGAAGAAGGGGCTTTATGCATAAAAAACGTCATTTTTCGACCCCCATTTGACCCCCAGGGGCAAAATCAAAATTCCGAAACCTTACTGCACATCTACATGACTCCTTTAACCATCTCCCAAAAGATGATAAAGCTACTGTGTAAAATGTAGGAGGAGTTCAGGGAAGAAAAGTGTGACAGACGGACGGACGGACGGATGGACGGACGGGCGGACGGACATGAGTAACAACAATATACCCGAACTTTTTTTAGAAAGTGCGGGTATAATAATAAAAAAACAGTGCTGATTTTTGATCATACGTTATGATGATAAAGCCATCATGATGAAAACATTGAAACGCTAACCTCCAATATGCCGTATTTGAGAATGGTGCTGTTCAGTTGTGGAAGTATGATATCATCCCCAGTCCAGAACCAGTCTGTATGGTTAGTATTTATGTAGCTCTGTAATGTGTTTTTATTCTTGATGATTTTTGATAATTCGTCGTATGCAACAAACTCGTTAGTGAAAGTTTTCAGACCAATCAGTCGGCCCAGTGATCTGCAGTCAGAGGGTGTTGTTCCCATGAAATATGCAATGGGGTAAAACAGGTAAGAACAAATGAACTAGAAAAGAAAGACGAAAATATATGTTACTAAATAAAGATGCAGCAAAGTATTAATGATTGATATATCGAATGAAATCCAGGAAGCTTTAAATTTACAAGATTACAATTTTATAAAGGGGAAAATTTGCTAAATTGATAGAGGAGGTGAATTTGATGTAAGCATGGGTTTTATCGGTAAGACAAAAGTTAATGTATTGCAAAAATCTGTATATTCGAAAGAAGCTGTACACCGTGGGATTTACTAAGAAAATTGCATTTACAGAGGTATAAAAAATTTACATCAAAAGTAAATCCCTCTATTTCGACTTGTTCTCCAAGCCAAGTTAAGGTAACGTTGACAAACTTCAGAATTGACAGGAACGCCATGACGTTTACAGCAATGGCTGCTACAACTCCGATCGAATTTAAGGCGCCTGATGATGCCGCCTCAATTATGTTCCTGTCTGACCTAAAGAAGAAGAGAGAAAAGGTTTTCAGTGAAACACTTTTAACTGAAAACCAATTGGATAGGACATTTTATCTTCTTTTTTCTGTCGAATAAAAAAATGAACATGTATAGAGACTTCATCATATCCCGCTGAAGGCTTCAGACATATACTTAGCACCCTAGTTCATTGAGCAGTAAGTGTTCCACATCATACCAACGCCCATTGTTACAAGGAACCTCAGATTTGAAGGTCTCATCTGAAAGACTATGGTTTTCACTTCTGCTGGGAGCTTGGAAAAAGAACAAGCATTCCCTAAGTTAACGGCTTAGGTATGACGCAACGATCGAGAATCGTAAGCCAAGTCTACCGATCATGACGCTTACGTCCCACCAGCGAAACCACATTCGGAAAATTTGTACATGAATCAACACTAATTTGAAACAAACTTCAGTTGCAAAGTCTCATTAAAACTTGATGCAATACTTACGATTTTCCCATTTTGTAGAAGTCTTTCTTGGACGACTTAGGTTTTTCCACTTCAGGATAGACTAACTTGGACATTGCTAGGGCGGCTGGAGCTGACATTACAGAAGCCGACATCAGATGATTGGCAGGGATCTAAATGTATAAAAAAGTATATCGAGTTTGTTCATTTTTAAATTTTCAAATAAAAATATCAGATGTACTTTAGTGATTGCAAAGCTTATATTTCAAAAATAAATACTGAGTAAATAAATATATTTTCGTTTTTTTCCTACATTTTCTGAAAAAATCACTAGTTAATTCTTAATTTTTATACTTATACTTTTTCTTTAATGAGAAAAATTGAAAAGGTTAAAGTTCAATATCAGCTTATCACTGTTTGTGCTGTCTGAAGTAATACGCACACCAAAGCTGATGTAAGCACCGAGAACACTTCCAGCAATAGTTGCAAATCCTCCCACCATAACAGCATGCAGCTCCGACATCGTCATATCCTTCAAGAAAGGCTGGATCAGCAAAGGGGATTCTGTCTAAAATATCACGTAATGGAGACATATGACGTAATGATAATATATTATGCAATGGTGACATAAGACTAAAACATTAGCTACAGTAAAACACGCTTATACCGAACACATGTATATTGAAATGACACTTTCATTGAAGAGAATTTTATTCCTTGTGATTTTATATATAAATGTTTTATGTACATTTATTATAAAATTAACAGATATAATGAATTAGGTTTATATCAAAGCAAAATAGTCCTCCCAATTATAGACTGTTAATCATTATGAGATGATTTTTTTTTTCATTCAAAGAACTTTGAAGGTGCATCCGTGTAAGTGCATTAAAATTCACGACCTACATAAATCCGGTATGGAGATGAAGAAATAAATACTGATCTTCATGAACCCTACCATTCCTACAAAGATGTTTCCCGCCGCGTTGAGAGACTCCGCTGGTGTTGTCCCCATCAGGAAAGCCAGGCCACGTCCGATAACTCTAATCACTGCCTGCATTACTCCTAGGTAGTACAGGACAGAAATCATGGCATAGAAGAATATAATCAGGGGTAAAACCTGAAAGGAAAATAGTGTTACAGATGAAGGGCAGGAAAAAAATGTTTAATAATGATAATTCACTTCAAAATATAATCTTAACTTAAATTTCGAAATTATATAACATTAAGCTGGAAAAAATAATCACTTAAAATTAAAAATTTGAATTTATCAATAAATTAAATGTATATTTATATTAATTACAGATATTATTTCAAATTTAGACATACTGTAGAACAATTATGAAAGAAGTTCGACCCAGGATGTTTTTAAATACAACTCCATCGTTTTCTCGGATACTAATTGTTTTAATTGATTTGTTCAAGATGGTATATTTACATTCAGTATAATTTTCCTTATGAAATTCATTAGAAATCCACGGCCTTCAAATTTCTATAACACATGGGAAACCTTGTCACCGCGCGTTAGAATACACAGTAGGAACTATATACATTTTCAATACTATAGGAACACCAAAATGTAAAATGTTTCATTTCAATGTAATGAAAAACTTTAACCCTGAAAAATTAACGTGAATATTAACGTAATGTGCGTTCAGAATTAATTTGTCCCTTTTTCCTCGCAGTGTTTGATTGCGAAATTTAACTTTGCAACGTCATTTAACGTCATTTGACGTCACAAACGGCTCTTACATCTATTAACCACGGCAGTTTTAAAAGGCGCTAAATTCACATTTAAGATTAACGAAATAAGCAATTATGAAGAAGAATAATTAGAGAAATTAAATTTATATAAGCATTGAATTGATATTTTTGGATGTCTTCGGTCCTATAACACACCTGGCCGTGCCGACAAATTATCATACCGCGCGGTATTCAATTTGTCGGCACGGCCAAGTGTGTTATAGGACCGAAGACATCCAAAAATATCAATTCAATGCTTAAATAAAATTTGCTTTATAACTGACCTTAAAAGCAAAGAAGTGAACTTCTAGGGGCGAACCAAACATGAATAAGGCGCCATCATCTGAGTAGGCTAAGAACTCCGTGACACGATCTCCAAGGTATTTAAACACGTTGTATCCAAACTCCCATCTCAGAATAATCAAGGCGAAGATGTACTGCAAAGCAATACCCCAGAACACAGGGTGCCACTTCACCTTCAGAAAAAGGTATTCTCTGTACAGTTAAATTTTGGTAAAGTTTCTCAAAAAAGTGCATTTTCTAGATTTTTTTTTCAGGAAAGGTGGACATAAAAGACGATATTGGTAATCTAACAACCAAACTCTATGATAACGTGATGACTTTAACTTTTCTATCGTCAACCTCCCTTATTTTCCACTCCTATAACTACGCTACCATAAACCGGCGAAGGACTTCAAATTTAGATCTTTACTCGTGACTTAGACTCATTGTGCGTTCATATTCAGTGAGGGTTCATTATCATACTTGAACAATATTCGGTTCAATGATAAAGGGGAAAAAAGGCTTACTTTTGCCGGATTCTTGGAGAACACGTAGAAAATGATGACGTAGAGAGCAAGTCCGGCGACAGACATAAGGTTCTGTGGATGATCAATAGCGACGTCTATGATTACGTAAACCACAATAGCAAGAAAGGCGGCAATCTTCAAAAACCTGAAAATTCCATAAAAGTATATCAAGCCATTAGTGAAAAGTTACAATTTTTAAATAATCAAACATGAATAATAACAATACATTTCGATGTTAGAGTACATGTTATTCTTAAGTGTTATAATTATTATGCAAAAGGCAGAGTTATGCAACGATTTAACATGTGTTAAGAAATAATATATATATTTTTAATTTTAATAGATAAAAGTGAGGAAAGAAATTAAATTATTCTCACTATTGGCATAATACACATTATCTACAATATGAAGAAGGGATTTTGAATGAATACCCCATTCCAAAATTTCGTGATTAATGGTGAACATGTACAATATAATGAGTTAAAAATTCTCGAAAGGGACGTTAAACAACCAAACAAAAATATATCTGGTTCGTATGATATAATATCTAAAATAATAAAAAAAAGACTAATGCATCGTAAAAAATATTGTTTGTGGACTTATAATAAGTGGATTTGTGGTTTTGTTTTCTTGTTGCTTGTTTCTTTGTTGAACGTCTTGACGTGAAAGACATTCATTCAAATTTATATTGCACCACGTGCCGGTGGAGCTCAGCAATTTAGACCTACGCTTTGCACTATAACAGCATTTGGACAGTGTGCTCTTTTTGTGCTGGTAACCATAGCGACACAAGACATCGGGTTCGCAACTTTAGAGCTCACTCCCAAATCATTGCGTCTCTAGGCGACATAATTAGTATACAAGAGTAATTGAAATCCACTAACATAGGTCATCAGTGAACAATGTTGATTCCACCACATTGAAAAAAAAACTAGGTACATAGTTATTTTCTCTTACCATGATACGATTTTACTGAACATCCTTCCGCCATTAGAGTTGAGAAGAGGTTCAATTCGATTGTTATAAAAATTGTCCATTTGGGTACCAAATAATTTGAAGAAGATAATCATCATTAATAAAAACACTCCAAAAATGGTGCACACTAATAAACGAACTGAGGGCTCCCTGTCAATGTCAAAGGTCTTTACAATAGCAAAGGCAAAATAGACAAAATATCCTGTGATGAGACAAATGTAGAATACAAAAACGATTTCACGCCAATTATCGTTGATGAATTTATAGACGGCTGTTTGCACCATGAAGACTACTTGTGCGCAGGCGCCCATTTTCTCGTCGTCATCGTCTTCTTCTTCTTCTACCGTTAATATAACGTCACTTTCGTTCAGTGGTATATCTTTCTGCAAAAATCATCAGAAGTTTTTAAAAGAATGAAACTGATTAATTTATTGTGAGTAAATATTTTCTTTTATTTCTTTCAGACAATGTATTTTTTTAATCTGATATTTAATTAATCTGATTAAAACTCATATTTTTTAAAAATCGTATAAATCCTATCAAGAAAGAACTTAAGTATATTATGATTTATTTATAATAATATTCTTCACTTAATTATCAATTTTTATTACAGGAAATCGTCGTCCGCTTGGGGAAGTGGTGGAGCGTTTGCTTTAGTGTCGTGGGGAAAAGAGTTGTTCCTTATGTGTCGGGTTCGAATTCTCCTTTATCTGTTCTTTGGATGTGCAGTGGGTGCTGGCACAAAAAAAAGATCCCTCAGTGCCCAGTGGCTTTGAGTACCGAATAAAGGTCTTAAATTCACAGTCTCATATGAGCGAAAAACAATTGAAAGGGACGTTAACAATGAAACAAACTATAGTAAGATATACTTTTACGAATGTAAATTAACTTATGAATTTTAAATTGTTACATTTAGCATTACATCAGTACTTTTTTATTATCATAAATGCAATGCTATGTGCAAGAAAATTGATTAACGCGCATTAACTATAGTAAATTTAAGTTTTCACTGTAGTAAATCAAATTAGATTAGTTATATGTTTTATATAGTTAGGTCTTTCCACCTTTCTGTGGAAAGACCTCTTGAAATGCTTCTGTTTCTTTTTATTTTATTTCTCCCCTTAGCTTTTGAGACCGTAAGACTTATCGAAAAACTTTTTAGTTCATGATACTGGATATATAAAGTTATTCCGAAAAACGACCCCGTATGTTTTAACTTCGACCCCTTACGCAGTTATTGGCCCTTTCACCGTTAAGCTTGTTATCGCTACTCCTCAGAAACCGTAAACCGTAGTGATACAAAACCTTCACCATTGTCTTGAACTCATTCAGGAGACTTTTCAATCTATTCATTGCGAAAGTTTTCTTTGACCCTTTCAATGAGTAATTGCCCCTGAAAGTTTATAAATTTTACAAAAAATTAAAAATTTTCAAAACGAAAAGTCGTAAAGACATGAAACCAACTGCATAACATTCAATGACCTTTTGCCTTCAAATTCAATTAAAGGTCAAAGTTCAAGGTCATTCCAAATATGAGAAACAAATTTCTCTTAATAGCCCTTATGTCCTTAAACATATACTACCTATCTTATGTCTTTAATATGTACTTTTGAAACTCTTTAGAAGATATAATTCTTGGCCCCTAAGATTGACCCTTTAAAAAGTTGTTGCCCCTTGTGCTAAAAACCCTTGTTATCGCTACTCCTCTAAAACCGTTAACCGTAAAGGTATGAAACCTTCACCAATGGCTTTGCCTAACTATGGGGACTCTTCAATCTATTCATTGCGAAAGTATTTGGTGACCCCTTCAATGAGTTATTGCCCCTGAAACTTTTTGAATATTACAAATAATTAAAAATTTTCAAAACGACAAGTCGTAGAGACATGGGACCAACTGCATAAGATTCATTGACCTTTGACCTTCAAATTCATGTAAAGGTCAAAGGTCAAGGTCATTCCAAAAATGGAAAATTTAGCTCTTTTTATATTTCTTTTGTCTTTCAACATATACTTAATGTCTATGCATCATTAATATGTACTCTTAAAACTGTTTCAAAGATTTCACTCTTGTCCCCTAATATTAACCCTTTTTAAAAGTTATTGCCCCTTGTGTGAAAAACCTTGTTATCGCTACTTCTCCGAAACCGTAGACTGTAGAGACACCAAACCTTCACTTAAGGGTCTTTAAGCCTTACTCCACTGTATGAGTGCAAATGTATCTGATGACCCCTTATATGAATTATGGCCCTTTAAGTTCTTTGTATTTACTATAAATCCTTATAACTTGAAAACTATAAGTCATAGAAGCATGGGGGCAACTGCATTGTGACCCTTGACATTTTACCTTGAATATTTTTCAAGGTCAAAGGTCAAGGTCATATTCTTTTTTTAATTTTCATTTTTTCTATGCTTTAAGAGAGTTCTGGTTTCTTTTTCATGGAATTTAATTTTTAGGAGTCAGGTATAAAACAAATTTAAAATTCAAAGAAGGTGGAAAGACCTCTTATTGTTCTGTGAACAATAAGTCTCCTAGTTATTTTTAAAATTCTTCTAAGTAATTTTTTGATTTTAATAAGTTTATTAACAAATTCTTCTTTTAAAAAAAACAAACAAACAAACAAAATACATTATTGGTATGTAATTAAAGAAATATACTTATATTAAGTCTCCAAATCTTCAAAAAAAAATTCTAAAGATTAATAGTAAATCAACGTTTCAAACATTAAAGAATTTCTATAGTTAACTAAATTAAGACAGATTATTTTATTAACATATTTAATAATCTCATTTAATTGACGAAAAGTCTGTTGTTATTGATATGCTTATACTAAGTACAAGTTAATTTGGTCGCAACATTACTTGGTACGACCTATCTAATACAATTATACAACTTCCGTTTCCGTTGTTGAAAAAATCGAGGAGGACCTGCAAAACAAAACTTTTTATCACAATAATAATCGGCTGCCATCCGAGGTGCTTTCCTAGAAAATGCCACCCGTACGCACACGTACATCTACTAGAGGGAGGAAGGAGTATGCAAGGAGTTTTGTGACACCGTCAAGGGGTAGGGGAAGAAGACGGAGGCGAGAGGGCGAGATGTCTCAGACCCGTCGACCACATGGCGATGAGAACGTTGACGACAGTCAAACACCAGCGGGGGCCATCATTAATGTGGCCAGTCAGAGTCATAGTCAGTGTCAGAGTCAGCTTGACGGTCAGCCCCTTGACGAAGCTACTAATCAGGAAATTGGTGAGTCAGATATTCTAATTCCCCCCACTGAGAATTTTGATGGACCAAACTTTAGTATTCAGGAATATTAACCAATATTGAACACGTGTGCCTTTGACCCTATCAATACACATGTCCCTCAAAAGCTCAAAACAAATTGGGAGGGACAATTCATAGATTTGTCCCTGCTCTTAAAATCCGCTAGGGAACTGGTCGACCATGAAAACACACAAGGTCATATTCAAATACGCAACGACACTATGTGCCTTGTCAAGCAAAAATCAAACACTTTCCTATCTATTGAAAAATGGACTTCTGCATTCATTATATTTATAAGTATTATGCTAGAAAAATATAGAACAAGATCCCAGGAACTATTAAAATACATGCGGGATGTAAGAATTGCAGCATCCCGATCCCCCGGATGGTTCAAATATGATGAAAAATTTCGCCTACTCTAAGTATCTAACCCCCAGTCTTCCTGGGGGCAAATAAACAGTGAATTGTGGCTATTATATATCACGAACAACAGTCTAATTCAGGCTCAAGATAGGGTTAACCCTCAAGTCAAAGTTAATCAAACAAATAACCTAATCTCAGCCCAACAAAACCTTTCATCATCGAGTGCTAATGCTACTCAATACTGCCATTATTATAATGCTGGCAAATTATGCAGGTTTTACCCAAATTGTAGGTTCAACCATGCATGCAACTCATGTGCCGGAAGACATGCAGCATCCAAGTGCAAGAGCACTAAACAGCTCTAGCCTTGTAGTATCAATTTGCACACTGGGAAAAACTCCTATTAATGTCAACATATTGTCTGACAACCTACATAATTATAAAGAAAAAACAGCTATTTTAAATGGTTTCAGTCGGGGTTTCAAACTGCAGTATCAGGGCCCCAGATATTATAGGGAGACAAACAATCTAAAAAGTATTTACCAACACACAAATATTGCAGAAGAAAAGATAAACAAAGAAGTTTCATTACAACGGGTGGGGGGGGGGGGGTCCCTTTGATCATCCACCATTTTCCTCCTTACAGATTTCACTTTGGGGCTTGTCCCTAAAAAGATGGCGACTATCGTCTCATCCATCACTTATCGTACCCAGAATTAAACTCAATGAATCATTTTATCGATTCCACAGCTTGTTCAGTACATTATGCTTCAGTTGATGATGCAGCGGCTATAGAGGCCGCCTTAGGACCTGGAACATTGCTAGCAAAATCCGATGTGAAATCTGCCTTCCGCCTTCTCCCAGTTGCATGCTCAGACTTCGAGCTACTGGGTTTTAAATTTAACGACAAATATTATTTTGATAAAATGATGCCATTTGGCGCATCCATAAGCTGTGCAACATGGGAAAAGTTTGCTACAGCCTTGCATTGGATTATTCAAAATAAGTCTCGTAACCCCCATATTCTACATTACCTTGACGATTTTCTTTTTGCAGGTAAGAACAACTCAGATCAATGCAAATCTACACTGGCTCAGTTTAAGCAAATTTGTCAAGATATTGGGGTACCTATAGCTTCGGAAAAAACCACTGAACCCAACACAATCATAACATTTTTGGGCATTGAATTTGATACAATTAATATGGTCATGCGTCTCCCTCAAGACAAACTCGACAATCTCAAACAAACTATTGATCATTTTCTCCAGAAGAAAAAAGTCCCCCTAAAATCGGTGAAGTCACTTATAGGCTTGCTTAACTTTGCATGCAAAACAGTTGCTCCAGGCCGGGCCTTTTGTAGACGACTGATTGATGCCACAGTGGGCATTAAAAAACTGCATCATAAGGTCAGAGTTACTCAAGACATAAAATCTGATCTCAGAGTATGGCAACAGTTCTTACAAAATTTTAATGGGGTTACCCTTATAACTTCTGGCATTTGGACATCAGACACATCTCTGCAATTTTTTACTGACAGTGCTGGGGGACCAAATGGGGGATTTGGGATATATTTTGCAGGTAGTTGGGCACATTCGAAATGGCCTGGGGACTGGGTACAATTAGGGATAGTAAGGGACATGACCTTCCTAGAACTTTTCCCAGTGTACGTCTCACTCTCGTTATGGTGTGATAGACTCTCTAACAAAAGGATTCTGTTTCATATTGATAACATGGCAGTGGTACAAATACTCAACACATCAACATCAAAATCACCAAGAGTCATGAATATTGTTAGAAAGCTAGTACTTGTCACCCTACAGTATAACATCACAATTAAAGCTCAACACATACCCTCTAAACAAAATTCAGTTGCTGATAGTATTTCTCGTTCGCAGTGGGGGAGATTCAGGGATCTGGTGCCGGACGCAGACGCTTGGCCAACTCCAGTACCCGTCCAGATTTGACAGATCCAACCACAGAATCCAGAAAGTTAATTTACAATCCCCTAGCTCCTAGCACACACAAGACTTACCAAACTGCTCTCGAAAAATTCCAAAATTTTGTCAAAATTCATTATTATCAATTAGTTGTAACTTGGCCCATAACAACACCTGTTTTACTTAATTTTATAGCTTATTTGTCAATCCATGAGCATGCCGCTAGCACTGTCCAATCGTACGTAAGTGCAGTTGCCTTTTTTCATAAACTTTGAGGGCTCCAGGACCCATCAAACAATTTTCTTGTCAGAAAAGCATTACAGGGTCTAAAGCGCACTAGGGGTACAACACCGGACTTGCTTTGTCCTATTACTTTTTTGATCTTGCGCAACATCATATCTTCACTACCAACAATTTGTCCACCATATGAAGTTAAGCTGTTCACATGTGCCTTTAGTTTGGCATATACTGCATTACTCAGAGTAGGGGAATGCACGGCTACAGGTTGCAACACTAACTCACATTTTATTCAGTTTCAAGGAATCGAAGTTAGGCATCGCACCAATGAAGTTCGAATAACAATCCCACATTCAAAATCTCAACAAACAAGTGGACAAACACTCATTATTCAGGGTCAACCACATTCTCCACTATGTCCAGTTAGATGCATTAGGGAATTTTTAAAAGTCAGACCAACCACACCTGCCTCCCATATTTTCTTGGTTCAAAGTGACACAGCACCTCTCACTAGGTTTCAGTTTAATGCAGTATTACAAAAAGCTCTCAAAATTTCGGGAACACAAGGATACTTTGGCACACACAGTTTCAGGATTGGGCGGGCTACCAATATGGCAGTACAGGGGGTTCCATACGATGCCATTCAGGAAGCAGGCAGGTGAAGATCACCTGTTTTTCTAAAGTATATTAGGATTCAAAATCAGTAGATCCATAAAATAATTTTCAAAGAGTATTACATTTAAGTTTTCTAGATTACACTAACCCAACCCAAGAATTGTAGGCTCCCCAACACAGATATGGATACTTGGATCTTCGATACCTTATTGGGCTGGACAGTTTGCCAGATCGACTCGCCTTGGAAAAGATCTGGATTTACCGGTCAACATCCTATGGCATGCTAAAAGAGGGATGCAGTAGCACCAATTAGATCCAGAGGTCATGAGACTCCTTAAGCACCATGCACCGCCAAATATCCTTATTATCCATTTAGGGTCAAATGACCTTGTTACAGAAGGTTTAACAAGTAAAAAGTTTGTGGAAGAAATAACATGTAGCTTACTTCGATACAATGCACTTTTACCAAAAACAAAATTAATATGGTCTTCTATTCTCCCATGCTTATATTGGCATGGTACACCTTTACAAAGTGGCCACAAGATTGACAAAAAACGCAAGAAAATAAACAAGCAGGTCAACAAGTTCATTACTGAATTAGGGGGGGGGGGAGTTTTATTCTGCACGATAATATATCGGTAAACAACATATGTCTGTTCCGTTATGACGGGACACACCTCTCTGATGAGGGCAATCAGCTGATGTTAAATAACATTAGGTCGGGTGTGCTTAAAATAATTAATGAATAAAAGATGGGTGGTTTTGTTGGGGTATGAAGGAACATTATATCAATGTCTGTGGCGGGTCTGGGGGGATATAATTGAGAAGTTTTCAAATTATCTGGCCTTGTGGTTTCCCCCATCTGCCATTTAAGACAGAGGGTGGTTTGTAAAAAGCAAAATTTACATATGTATGTGTTTGGAAAGTTATAGATTGGGGTCACTCAAGTTCAACAGTCTTGGTGCCCACTCCACCTCTATACACAGGAGGGGATGCTCAGTCCTGGAGTACATGGTATAGTACTAACAACCAGGTGCAATCACTGGGAAACGGGGTAAACGGATATTTTGAAAACTCTTCCAATCCCAAATGGGTGGTATTTTCATAGTTTGGGATTTTGGTACTGGCGCTCAACGCCAGGCCACCAGTTTGCCCGTTATACTTGCTAGGTTGGTATATTGGATATCCCCTCGGACCCTGGGGTTAACACAATGTGGCCATTTACTTCCATTGTCCCTTTTTGTCAAATTGTAAATTGTTATTGTGTGATGTTTTGTCTGATTGATTTAATAAATTTGGAAAAAAAGAAACATGTATTGTGGCTGTTGTCAGGGGAACAGTTAAGAGAGTAGAGGAAGTACAAAACTTATATGAAACACAAGAGTCTGTGGTGTCAAATGCGTTTATTTTGAATGTTCAATTAAAGATTGTTTAGGAATTCTTTGAATATCCAACAATATCGTAAAATATTAGCATCATACACATATAATTTTGGAGACATTCAGGCTCCGAATCCACAAAAAAAGGTTAAAGGATATTTCAAAGCAAATCAAAATATCAAAATCTTTAATATTGCTAGCAATTGTAGACTTTTTAGTTGATTAGAGTGAAAATGCTAGAGGAAGTTAATTTTGTCTTAACAGATACTCGCAATGCTGTACATGAAATGTCTATATAAAATCGTAAACACTTTTTGATTACCACGAACTTACTTGAGAGTTGTTTCTCCCGTTTGGCTCCCCCTTTTGGTCAGTATCTTTTGAGTTTCCTTTGGGGTCCTCATTGACGAAAGCAGGGTTGTCTTCCCCTTTATTTTTTACAGACTTCAGTTCTATCGACATTTTGTCCTTTTTATGTCTGTTTAGTTTTCTTTAAATTGTTTTCGGGGCATGTGCCTCAAGAAAAGTGTATCTGTAAAACAACAATAATGCAAAAAGTTGTCTTTTCAACACGGTTCAACGTCCTAATGGTTCGTTGAACCACCCTTCCCCCTATTTAATATATATACAGGTATAATTATACGGCATATATATAAGGAAATTTTTTAAAAACATTTTAACTTGCCATTGTTTAAAAGTACAAACACTTTAATCTTACCGTTTACTGTAATACATGGACGCTTGTTTGGCTTTTTCATTTAAAAAAATCCAGTCGGTTCAGGTTTTGTCAAACACCCTATACTTTTGACAATAAAAACGGGAGGGTAAGGTCATTTATGTTTACCCGGTTTAAAAAAAATACACGCTTTTTACTCTTATTTTTTTAAACTATTTAATTAAAACAATATTTTGAATCATACGTTGTATATGTAAGTAAGAGAATAACCATGTGCATTATGTACATTTAAATTTTGTTGCAATAAACGTCTTGAACAAATTATTTATATCGAAAGCTCGTTCATATACGCTTGATAAGTTACATTAATATGCACATTAACATGACATTGTCCCCTTTTTACCATGTTATTATTAGGTCATTCTTAAGAAATTCTGTCAACTATTGTGCTGTATCGTTTATGCTTGAGGTTATTGTTAAACATAAACAGTGGTGTTTTCTAGCGTCTACTATATAAATGACCGACCTTGAAATATTTGGAATATTAAGAAGGTTTTAAACAGTTCTGATATATTGAATTAAAAACTATTGCAAATAAAATGTTCTTTTATGTAGGATTGGGAAATATAATCAGATCCAAATTAGTTCAATTCTTTTGATTAGTTTTTTTGTGATGGATGAATGATAAAAAAGCCATATTAATTAGTTTCGAAATTCGAAATTTATGTTTTTGCAAGTAGAATTAGCGATCCTGACATCAGCTTCTTTTTTGTATATTATTATACAAGTTCTCATGAAATTAAATTGAATAATACTATTATGTTTCTTTCTTTCATCGAACAATGAACAGGGTAGGGTAACGTCGCATTTCCTGCTTTTTATGCTAACACTTTAGGGTGCCATATTGTATTGACTTTTTAAACCTGTCTTTTTGACTGGCAATAAAAATAGAATTATTCAAGTGTGTGCATATAAGGTTATTCAAGTGTAGCATAGGATTTTTCTTTACAAGGGTAACGTGTTAAACAGAAAGTCGTAAATACCCCCAAGTAAACACAACTGTTACAGACAAATTTAATACTGGCAGCAATTCTTAACATTTCTATGTTAATTTGTTTACATTTTGTAAAATCAAATGTGTAGTTTAATCACTCTTCAATCATTTTAATAGACATTCATAAGATACATGCAAGAAGGATAAATATTAAAAGTATTTTATTTATATTTTTTATCATTGTTGAAACAAAAAATTATAGAAAAAAAGGTAAACATTGCACTAAATTCGTTAAAGTATACTTGTTCTCAACAAAAATTATTCATCCAGAAACGATGTGAACAAAGCATTTTTTTTCAAAATTAGAAATAAACACCTGAAATGTCCAAATACGAAGTGAACAATGTATTATACGTTTAGAAATTAAGCAAAACTAATGCAGAAGAGTCAAAAATGTCCAGTTTCTTTAGGTTTCTCTAAAAGAGAAAGAAAACGAGAGAAGGAAGATATTTTAACCTACCTGTTTATTGTATGAAACGAAATTTAAAGTACACAAAATCCATTTGACAGAACGGAATGCTTCATCGAATAGTAAATTTAAAGGTTTATTATGTTTACGTAAAGGCGCGTTACTTCTTTTTTCGAATATGTCAATATGTCATTCGGGTATATCAAGTGTAAGATCAACTGAGAAGGCGTCTGTATTAAAATGCAAACTATTTTTTCCAAGTTTCTTTGTGAAATCTTGCTTTGAAACATTTCAACGATTATATTGATTAAAAAACAGAATTTTTTTTTCAATACGAAAATTTAAATTTTTTACATGGATAAAGTCTGTGTTTTGAATATAAAACAATGGAACTAGATTATGAATAGTGGATGCCTTTTGAAAATGATTTGTAGGATTTCAAACAAATTACTGTTTCCGATGCCTAATTTTAAAAGATCTCTTGTATTGTACATATTGTAAGTCTACATTGAAGGGAGTGACTACTTTTGAAAAAAAAATGATGTGTACTCAGATTCCCCGTATAGAAGCTCATGTCAAAGTGTCAAAGTTTTCAAATGCAAGATAAAAACGAATTTTAAGTTATCAAAAAGAAATATAAAAAGGACCAGTCAAAAGGAATACGCCTTTAAGATATAAAAAAAACCATATACAAGAACTACCGGGTATTAAGAAATTATGGTCAATGTTAAAACTTTACAAAATAAGCTGATTTTTGACAGCCGAGATGTTCAAAACGTGTACTAAATTTGACTGCAAAGTATATCGTTTACCCAAAAAAATGAAGGATTTTTGGCAGGTGTGAACGGTCGACAAAGGATCATTTCTCCTCTAAGGCACCTGATTCCAGATCGGAAATTTGTTCCTTGTTTTTACATTGGTTATAGAATTGTTTTGTAAGTGAGGTCATGCTATAATTAAATCAAACCTGAACTGATCTTTCCAATAATAGTTCATAGATCACAAATAACACCGAATTGTTAAAGGTTTTCCGTTATTGTTTGAATGGATTTTTGAGCTTAAAAGTATTTGTTATCTCTATCCATTTCAAGGCTCACTTGTTTTTGCATTATCCTCTCTTTTTTTCATGTAATTTTGGACAAAAAGAAATAAATCAAAAGGGCAGATGGCATTGTTTATCTGCAAGTCCCTGGAAATATAAGAATCTGTAATGATATAAATTTTTGATTGATTGTATGTTGTTTTACTCCCATTCGTGAATTTTTCAGTCATTTAAAGACGTTCCTTTATACCGGTAAATGCTTCAAATTTTGTCAAGAGCGGCACTCAGCGCCATTGAACAGTGAAGGGATCTTTATCTTGCCTACGCCTGCCGTGACACGGGACGTCGGTATTTAAGGTCCCATCCGAAGGATACGCACCTTTTACTTCAAGTTCTGAGCGCATGGCGAAGGATCAGTTGATACCCAAATTTTACCGACTTCTTAAGGACAGATGATACAAACAAATTTTTTCTTTGAAAAAGATTTATTATCATGTCACAAGTTTAGAAAAGTGAATGGTTGTTAGAATTTTTTCTCCGAAGAACTGGAAAATGAAATAGACTTGGAAAATATTAGTAATATTTCAATGAAAAAACAAATATACACAAATCACATTCAGTAAACGTTTACAGGTGAAAATAAATTTCAGAATATGTACATGTTATCTTGGTACTAAAAGTGTAATATAAACTTTAGAAAAATATACCAAGCCAGGTGAATTTTAAGAGGAAGGTCAAAATGTCAAAAAATTAGTAGTATCACATAGGCTTAGTTTAACCATTTAGCTTTTCCTAATAAAATTCACCTGGCTTGGTATATTTTTCTTAAGTTTATATTCTTAAAATTTTCTAAACTTGTGACATGCTATTAAATCTTTTTCAAAGAAAAAAATAGTTTGTATCATCTGTCCTTAAGTCACTCGCGGTCGAGATGCAAATTCGGAACTACCCATTTTTTATCGACTTAAGTCAGTCGCGGTCGAGATGCAAACTCACGACCTTCCGAGTTTGCATTTCGGCCGCGAGTGACCTAAGTCGATTTAAAAAAAATGGGTAGCAAATAGATTACCGACAGTAATCAAGCTTAAAACCAAATGGAAACAAGAAAATGTAAGGAAGAGCAACACATACCTGTAAAACATCGTCTGTGAGATTAGGTGCCATTAAGAAATAAACATCCTCTGCTGACAGTTCAAACCGACCGTAAACTCCTTACCATGGTTGGGAAGAACAAAAACTAGACATATCAAAATGTTAATAATGATCTAACTATATATAAAACACGGCAATAAGCATTGGACTCAATTATACATTTTATTTTCTGACTACATGTACTTCAATTAATCGACCGATCACAGTGGCTCGGTCGGTAGAGCATTCGCTCCATGATCGGGAGGTCATGAGTTAGAATCTAGGTTTGAATTGAAATATGGTGGAATACAAGACATGACCCTTTTGTGATAACTGGTAAAAATATTACCTATGTTAATCAAGTCAATTCCTCAGTTGGCCTATTTATTGAAGCTTAAGGGGAAAAAAGGATAATTTTAGCTGCAAAAATTGTTCTTTAGTAAAACGTGGGGGTTAAAAATAATATAAAGAAAGTTATTTCTTCTGATATAAAAACTCTTACCCGATATTTTGGGTGTCATTATTTATAGTCTCCGTACATATATAACAAAAGTTAAAATGTTAAAGTAAGCTGTATACTGTAAAAGTCAGTGCTTTTTAGAAAAGTTCTTTAGTGTTATAGTTACATTATACATATTAAAAATCATATATTCAAAGCCCGTTTTAAAGGTAAGATTGTTTTCGTAATAATGTGTAAAAATGAAGAATTTTTTTATATCTAATATTCTTGGACACTTGCTTTTTTCCTTTATTATGAAGATAATGAATTTTTTTTTCAAAAAAAAGTAAATAATTAAATAAAAAGTGTCATCAGATCTTTACATGAAGTCATGAATGAATTTTTGAAAATTTTGAGTATCTGTGGCATTGTACATAACGATCAAAAATCGTTTACATACATACATACCAATATCAATTTAGTATAACAATAATTTACAATATACATGTACAAAGACATTGTTTAAATGATCGGCGTCGCCTTCTTTATCACATTTTAAAACACTTTTTAAAAAAAATATCATTTCCTGTGTTTTTCTTCATACAATTTGTCTAAAAATTGATATTTAATTTATCAGAAATACTAGTAAACAACAACAACTTTTTTTAGATTTGACTTCTTTTATGAAGATAATGAATTTTTGATCTTTAATGAAGATAATGAATTTTTGAAAATTCAAAAACAAAGTCTATGGAAGATTAACTTTGGGTCGTGCGCACTATCCCTTTTTGGACAAAAAAAATGTCAGACAATAAAAATTGATTTCATAACAAGTATGATTGATTGTTTGATTGCATATTGTTTAACATCCCTCTCTTTTTTTTTACTCCTATGGAGAAATACAAATTTTTGTTCTATACTCAGCGCCATTGAGCAGGAAGGGATCTTTTTCGTGCCAGCATCTAATGTGACACGGGACCTCGGTTTATATGGTCTAATCCAAAGGACCGTATGACAAATACGAAATTTCATTATCATTATATCATTCTCATTAAATTCTGTCAAAGTTAAGAGAATGCCTTCGCATTTACACCTCTTTTCAAATTAATTAAACAGATTTCTATTCTGTTTGTAAGTAATCATTAATGTAGGTGAACAAAAACTGCCCAAGATATATCTGTCATTCTCAATCAAAAGCACAATAAATTTCATGCACAATTGCAAACTATTCAAAGTTGGACTATGCAGAGAATATAATTTAATTATACAGGAAAATCCTATACATCATGAAATTATTTTATTTTGTTTGTATTCTAGCCCTTCAATTGATTACTATACAAAAAAGGAACACATATTATTTCTGCTTAATCCGGCTTGGTATGGAGACACACCCCTGACAACCAGCTGAATTATCTGTATCCATGCAATCCTCTCATTTCCAGTCCTTGAGATTCATGGAAAATTCCAGATTAAAAAAATTCAGCTCTAACTTCAAACAATGATTCGATCTTACCTCATGTAAACAAACAACATGGCTGCTAGTTACTTTTGTTCCTTTTATGTTTTCATACCGCAAATTGTACATTTTACATTTTCTTTTCTTTTTTTCCATTAATTTTCATTGATGTACATACGAGGGACGTTCAATAAATAATGTCATTAGCTCGATGACATACAACATAGAAATCATATGACATTATGCTAGACTTTCTCTCATTATTGAATTTTTAATGAATTGATAACAGTTTATGTGACCACTTTTCATCACATAGTTTCATCGTGAGAAACTGGGAAACAAGGGCTAATCGAGACAGTGCATTATAAATGAATGGTAAAGAATCGCTAAACTAGAGTGAAAATAAAAGCTTCATTAAAGCTGCTGTTAAAAGTGTTAAAATCCCAAAGAAATTTTCACTGAAATATGTGACATTTACATCAACCAATGCCTGTTTTATAGACAAATAAGCAAGTGGATTTCAATGATGAAAAATTTTATAATGGGCATCAAAAATGGGTACCGTCCTTGCCAACAAAAATTATAACAACTTATGTACTATTTGCCCAATTTCAACAAATAATATCTGATGATATATGACTGACTTTAAGACACATAGCAAACTTGATATACATCATATCGGGAGTAGTTTACAATGTTTTTAAGAAACGTTTGACGGTAAAAAAAAAAGCTTGGTACTCAAAGATCACCCTATATTTTGAAAAATGAGTGAAAACGACAGCGTGTAGGAATGTCTTAACAATTATTTTAAAATATCAGTAACTGTAGTTATCCAAGTTTGTTTCATATTCAAACAGATAATGGAACATGAATCTATTGCTTAAAACACTCAATACAAAATTTACCATAAGATGTACTTGATAAAAACAGCAATGGTCCGACAAGAGCAAAGGTATGCAAGAACACAAAGACAGATTTATATGCAATTTTCTTAAATATTAGTGGTACTGTTGTTCAATTTCGTATTCGGGGAGACAGTTTAATTTTTGGAGGAGTCTATAAAGC